CAGGGTTAAAGGGTGAATCAGCAGTTCTACATTAACTCCAGAGTTTAAGACCATTTATTGTTAAACTGTGTTGAACGATCAGCAGAGCTTTATTTTACTGTAAAGGAGGATTATTTTATTTTTACCTACAAATCTAATTCAGCTGTGGAGCCACAACAGGACAGTCAAAGAGCCGCATGTTGCCGAGCCCTTGGCTCCTCTCAGTGGTTCTTCTCAGAGCCATTGTGATCAGCAGTAGCATGTTCTTCATTCTGTATGGTCGTTGTCATTTGGGATAATGTTATAACTAATTGGCCTGGAACATACAAGACAACAGAGGCATTTTCTGCATTGTTCTTTGGATCTGATGAATATTCAGATGTTAAATTTGATTTTGACAGCTTTAGTCAGCTTAACACAGTGTGTTCAGATCAAACTGCGATAAGAGATAATGTAATAATTGTAACCGACAAACACTAAAAGGCGCCCAACAAATCTCAAGAAGTTCTAAAAAGTTCTTCTGCAGTTCTAAAGGGGAACTCAGCACTAGAGTTCTCTGGACTTGGCTTTAATGGTGCTCCCAGCGCAGCAGTTCAGGTGTGTGGAGGAGGGCTGGCTTCCATCGCGTTTGTCTTTTCCTCTGGAATGTCTCCGTTTGATCGTCTCGTGGATGTTTGGCTGATGAGTGATGTTTAAGTGTTTGTGGAAGTCTCATTTGTTCTCTCTGATGTTGACGTGTGAACAGCCAGTGAAGCCCTGTGGAGGAGCTGCTAACGCGTTTATAATAGGCAGTCCAGGCTGCAGTTCAGCCCTTCAGTTTGAGGTTGCTCTGTGGGTGGATATCCTAAAGTATGTCTCCACTTTAAACCCTACAGCTTGTCCACAAACCAGCCCTCAAAGCTCTGTCCCAGGCGGCTCATGGGTCACCTCTCCCTGCAGAGAGAGGGTGGCTTTTCTCCTCTTTTATGTGGCACAGTGTGGTATTCCTGAGGTTTTGGGAGGAGGCCTGCGCTCTCCTCTGCTTTCCTTTACTGCCCTACACTTATACTGAACTTTGTGTTCTCATATTTAACGTCCTGTAAGCGTCCAGCCCACCATATTCCCCTCGCTTGAGTCTTGGTTCCTCTCAGTGGTTCTCCATCATGGTCTCAGTGGTTTCTAGTTTTGTGTGTTGGTTCCTCTCAATGGTTCTCCATCATGCTCTTAATGGTTTCAGTTATGGGTCTTGGTCCCTTTCAGTGGTTCTCCATCATGGTCTCAGTGGTTTCTGGTTATGGGTCTTGGTTCCTTTCAGTGGTTCTCCATCATGCTCTTAATGGTTTCTGGTTATGGGTCTTGGTTCCTTTCAGTGGTTCTCCATCATGCTGTTAATGGTTTCTGGTTATGGGTCTTGGTTCCTTTCAGTGGTTCTCCATCATGCTCTTAATGGTTTCTGGTTATGGGTCTTGGTTAATCTTAGAGGTTCTCCATCATGCTCTCAGTGGGTTTCTAAGTTGTGAGTCTTGGTTTCTCTCAGTGGTTCTCCATCATCATCTTTATGATTTCTAATTTTGAGTCTTGGTTCTTCTCAGTGTTTCTCTCTTCTCTTCTCTTCTCTTCTCTTCTCTTCTCTTCTCTTCTCTTCTCGTCTGCTCTGCTCTCTTCTCTTCTCAGCTCTGCTCTCTTCTCTTCTCTTCTCTTCTTGTCTCTTCTCTTCTCGTCTGCTCTGCTCTCTTCTCTTCTCTTCTTTTCTCTTCTCTTCTCTTCTCTTGTCTCTTCTCTTCTCGTCTGCTCTGCTCTCTTCTCTTCTTTTCTCTTCTCTTCTCTTCTCTTTTCTTCTCTTCTGCTCTGCTCTCTTCTCAGCTCTGCTCTCTTCTCTTCTCTTTTCTTCTGCTCTGCTCTTCTCTCTTCTCTTCTCTTCTCTGCTCTGCTCTGCTCTCTTCTCTTCTTCTTCTCTTCTCTTCTCTTCTCTTCTCTTCTCTTCTGCTCTGCTCTCTTCTCTGCTCTGCTCTCTTCTCTTCTCTTCTCTTCTCTTCTGCTCTGCTCTGCTCTCTTCTCTTCTCTTCTCTGCTCTGCTCTCCTCTCTTCTCTTCTCTTCTCTTCTCTGCTCTTCTCTTCTCTTCTCTTCTGCTCTGCTCTCTTCTCTTCTCTTCTCTTCTCTTCTCTGCTCTGCTCTCTTCTCTTCTCTTCTCTTCTCTTCTCTTCTCTTCTGCTCTGCTCTCTTCTCTTCTGCTCTGCTCTCTTCTCTTCTCTTCTCTTCTCTTCTCTGCTCTGCTCTCTTCTCTTCTCTTCTCTTCTCTTCTGCTCTGCTCTCTTCTCTTCTCTTCTTGTCTGCTCTGCTCTCTTCTCTTTTCTTCTCTTCTGCTCTGCTCTCTTCTCTTCTCTTCTCTTCTCTGCTCTCTTCTCTTCTCTTCTCTTCTCTTCTCTGCTCTGCTCTCTTCTCTTCTGCTCTGCTCTCTTCTCTTCTCTTATCGTCTGCTCTGCTCTCTTCTCTTCTCTTCTCTTCTCTTCTCTTCTCTTCTCTTCTCTTCTCTGCTCTTCTCTGCTCTGCTCTCTTCTCTTCTCTTCTCTTCTGCTCTGCTCTCTTCTCTTCTCTTCTCTTCTCTTCTCTTCTCTTCTCTTCTCTTCTAGTTTAGTTCACACAAGGTCTGCAGACGGGTTTATTCTCTGTGTAGTTTAGGTATATTAGAAAAAATATGTGTGAAATCATACAAGCAGGTCCAAGCTATGCATTGGGATTGCACCCAAACACATTTTACAGGATGTGAAATCATATGACACTTCATATTTCTGCAAAACTTTATAACACATGTAAGAAACTTAGTTTTAAAGCTTAACAGACACCATATGTTACACATGTTCTGTAAGACACTCAGTCGGAGGTGGAAAAATGACCAAATCCTTTATTTGAATTAAAATAAGGAGATGCTGAGGGAATATTACTCATTAACCGAGCAACTGGTGCTTGAAAGTTGAAGTGAAAAATGTAATACATTGAAGAATTAAAAGTAAAAGTAGCTGTTGGAGAGGTTGTCCAGTCCTCGAGCTCACAGGAGGAGCCATAAAAACCCCTCAGATTTTAACAAACGATGCTATTACAGACAGAACAAGCAGAGTTATAATACTGTGTGCTTTTGTAAAGCTACATAAAGCCCTACTGTATTTATTACAGCACACCTGTTTTCTGCATAAACGTTATTATCCTGCGCTCCTTTATCATGTTGTGTATTTTTATGTATATGGGCTCAGCCCATGTGTAATCTGGCAATATGTGCCGGAATCAGTAGATCTAGTCTTCAAGTGATGAATCTCCGTCATAGATTTGAGGTAAACTCCCACAATGAGGCAATAAAAAAGCTGTTTTTTAACCAAAATGCAAAAGACACAACAGCCTATGGAGATGAATTAGATTACTCAGATTGCATTTCAGTCTGTGGGTATGTTTTAGTGTTCCGCAAAGCCGCTGGCCAGCGTGGACGCGGTCCAACGTGGCAATTTATGTCGGATGTCTGGCAGAGTCGCTTACATGAAACATCAGTAGGTTCGTCTGACGTAAAGTTACTACAGATACAGACAGAGGGGAACTAATGCACCATGTTTGGGAGCAGGTTTTTTTTTGGGAGGGGGGGTTGTTGGATTATTCTTTTCATGACATGGACAAAGTTTAACTAGAATAATGATTTTCAATCATAGTGTAATATAATGTGCAGTAATAGTAGAAGGTCCCTAAACCAGAATTTATAGTTTAGAAGTTATAAGTTTATAAGTTATAGTTTTGATTATGAACTTTAAAAAAGCATCAGCAAAACTACATTTTATGTACCAATGCAATGAAATCCCAGGTGGTTGCTAAGGTGTTGCTGGGCCATTGCTTTGGTATCCCAGGTGGTTGCTAAGGTGTTGCTAGGCCATTACTATGGTATCCCATGTGGTTGCTGAGCCATTGCTGTGTTATCTCAGGTGGTTGCTAAGGTGTTGCTAAGCCATTGCTGTGTTATCTTAGGTGATTGCTAAGGTGTTGCAATGCCATTGCAGTGGTATCCCAGGTGGTTGCTAAGGTGTTGCTAAGCCATTACTATGAAATCCCATGTGGTTGCTAAGGTGTTGCTAGGCCATTACTATGGTATCCCAAGTGGTTGCTAAGGTGTTGCTAAGCCATTGCTGTGTTATCTCAGGTGATTGCTAAGGTGGTGCTAAGCCATTGCTGTGTTATCTCAGGTGATTGCTAAGGTGTTGCAATGCCATTGCAGTGGTATCCCAGGTGGCTGCTAAGGTGTTGCTAGGCCATTACTGTGAAATCCCATGTGGTTGCTAAGGTGTTGCTAGATATAACATATCTAGCTGGGAAGGTGCTCCTAGACTGTTGCTATATTATTAAAAATGGTTGCTAAGTTGTTACTCGGCCATTACTATTGTATTCCAGGTGGTTGCTAAGGTGTGACTAGGCCATTGCTATGATATTCCAGGTGGTTGCTAGGGCATTGCTGTGGAGTCATAAGTGGTTCCTAAGGCATTGTTAGGCCATTGCTATGGTATGGCAGATAGTTGCTAAGGTTTTGCTAAGCCACTGCTGTGTTATTCCATGTGGTTGCTAAGGCGTTGCTAGGCCATTGCTATGGTATGCCAGATGGGTGCTAAGGTGTTGCTAAGCCATTGCTGTTATCCCATGTGATTGCTAAGGCATTGCTAGGCCATTGCTGTGATAACCCAGGTCTGTATATAATGTATATGAGAGGAAGTGTGAGAGATGTACTTTGTGACATCATTTGTGGCAGTTAGATGCAATTGGTGGAGTATAAGATTCCCCACTTCCTTCCTTCTTTACTTCCATTACTTATTAGCTACATTAACCTCATAGCTCCAGCATAAAATTGATGTTAAGGCACTAAACATGTCTCGGCTGATGACTATATTTGGGTTAATTCGAGCTAAGAAATTCTCTTGCTGATGAACATGTTTGGACTCTTCTTAATTTCTGTTAGCAGTGCTCAGCATTCCTAATCATTGCTAGCTTTGCTAATTGCTGTTTTTTTTCTCCAAAGCCCACAGCACAATGGAAGGTTCTGCCAGGGCTCCAGCCGTCGTTCACCAGCTGTGTAACACTGCACCATGCCAGCCTAATGCTGTGGACTTTCGGGCCCAGCAGTGCGCCGAGTACAACAGCAAACCTTTCAGAGGATGGTACTACAAGTGGAAGCCCTACACTAAAGTGGAAGGTATGGCACCTTAATGGCAATGCAATGCTCACAGGCCACTTTATTAGAAACACCTACCCCTCTAATTCCACTCATTGGCCACTTTATTAGAAACACCTACCTTGTACTTCCACTCAATGGCCACTTTGTTAGAAACACTTACTTTGTACTGGCCACTTTATTAGAAACACCCACCTTGTACTTCCACTCACTGGCCACTTTATCAGAAACACCTACCTTGTGCTTCCACTCAATTTATTAGAAACACCCACCATGTACTTCCACTGACTGGCCACTTTATTAGAAACACCCACCCTGTACCCCCACTCACTGGCCACTTTATTAGAAACACTTACATTGTACTTTCACTCACTGGCCAATTTATTAGAAACACCCACCTTGTGCTTCCACTCACTGGCCACTTTATTAGAAACACCCACCATGTACTTCCACTGACTGGCCACTTTATTAGAAACACTTACATTTTGCTTCCACTCACTGGCCACTTTACTGGAAACACTTACATTGTACTTCCACTCACTGGCCACTTTATTAGAAACACCTCCCACTATGTAGGTGTACACTTACAGACTGTAGTCCATCTGTTGTTGCAGTTTATCAGCCCCCTCTACACCATTCCTGGTGTTGCTAGTACGAGAGTGTCAGACACAGCGGTGTTGGTGAAGATCAGTGTCACTGCTCGGTTGAGAGTGGACCACCGCCTAAAAATATCCAGACAGGAGCAGCTCAGTGATCGGAAACCGAGGGCTGTAGGATGGACAATACAGACTGGTCATCAACAGGCGAGCTACAAGCTCTAACTGTACACCAACTAGGTGGCGCTAGAGTAAAGTGGACAGTGGGTGTATAATGTGTGTCAGGTGAAGTTTATGAGCAAAAGTTTAGGCCCTTGTCTGTGCTTGTTCTGCTGTCTTGGCAAAACGTGGAAGTTTTTGAAATGGTAATCAGTCGTGTTTGTTTCTGGACTGTTTTTGCTGCAGAAGCCAAGTGTTTTGTTATGCTCAGCGGCAGCTGATGATGCAGAACGACGGTGTGATCCAGAGTTCAGACATGTAGCCACTCGCGCTGTGTGATAGATGAGCGGAGATGGATTAGTAAAGAGCTCCTCAGGGCAGGGCTTTACCACAGAAACACTGCTTAGAGGAGGTGGAGAGAAATTATTTATTTATCTATTTATTTACAAAAATATTTAAAAAAATCTTAGAAATGACAACAAAGAAAAGAGAACAAACTTAAATGTTTTTTTTTGTCATTTTTAGAGCACAATTTCTATATATTTGCAACAAAAGCATAATATATATATATATATATTTTTTTTTTACATATTTTACAAAATAAAATTTAACATTCAAAATGTGCCATAACTTTTCAGTTTAGCCACATTTTATGTTTTATTTTTCCCAATTTTTTAAATTCCGTAAATAAACCGTTGAAATGTATTAAAACATGCAGAGATGTGTTCTCTGTAGAGGTTGTGTTCCCTTCTTTTCACTTTGAAATACAACATGTATGGGACCAGGGGTGCACAAACTTTTGCATACACCTGTGTATTTATTTATGTGCAGTATTTACACACTGAATATTAGGGATGTTACAATAAAGCATACTGTATCACAGCGTATGGTATCTTTGTATTGTGTTAGTCTGAGGCTAGAGTGTTAGATCAGGACACTTCAAAGCTCAGCTTTTGTGTCAGATATTATACTTTTATCATGTTAAATGCTTTAATAAACTAAAAATGGAAACATTAATATATTAATGTAAGGCCCAGTTTCAGGTACTCATAATTTTTGCTGTATGTAAAAAAAAACAAAATCAAATCAAGAAACCAGCACAATATCGCATAGAATCGAATAATGAATTTTATAAACCAGAATACATATATATATATATATATATATATATATATAATAAAATCAAATGAAAAAAATGTTCTTAACTTTCAATGTAAGTTAATGTAACAAGGTTTTCTTGGAAGAAAGTTTGGACGATTTCTATTCGGAAACAAAACATGATAACAGACACAAAAAGGAATATAAACATCCCTTTTCTAAGCATTTTGGCTTTATTTTACCTTCATTACATTCTTTTTATTGTTTTTACAGTTCTAATATTTTTAATGGTAGGAATTATTTATTTATGTCTTTATTTATTCATTTATTTGTAAGTTATTTATTATATATAACAATACATAAGCATGAAAAAAACTCAGAAACAACAAAAATGAATTTTTAAGGAAGGTTAAAAAAAAAGAAAACAAAAGGTCTTTTGGGAATAAAATTTTGCCTCTTTCTGCATTTTCAAATTAAATAAAATCCATAAAATAACACATGGAATCAGACCTATTTTGACCTCTCTAAGCTCCGCCCACAAATGCATTCTTTCATAGCTGTTTAGTTGCTAAATTGGACAAGACTGTTAAAAATCCCATTCAGTCTAATTAGAAACTGTTTTTTTTGTCAAAATCTTCATTCATTTAAAGTGATTTTTTCTAGCGTGTGAAAGGTTTTCTACCGTGTAGGAAGCTTGAATAGGTCAGTGCAGTGACCAAAACATAATAAACAAATCAAAACGTCTATTTTAGACCCTCCAAAGTGGGATTAGCCTGGCTGGACTGGCCTTTAACATCTACATCCAAATGCATCATGACCTCTTATTGCCCCTCATCGTTTAATTTCACTGAATTTCCGTTTTGCGACTGATTTGTAAACAGTAGATGAGGAGAATATCGTCTTATGAAGCTTAAACTTCTTTTCACAGCCCGGTTTAAAGTGACTCACGTGCAGTTTGTGTGTTTAGAGGATGCGTTTTACACACGTGCTCAGTGTGTCTAAGTGATTGATCACATGGAGGTCATGCGAGTTCATAGCGTTGTCCTCTTTTTAACCCACTGGGCTGCAGCTCTGTGTGTGTTTTCTCCTCCTTCTGAGCTGAACGAACCTGCCGTCGGTCCGGTCCATGTTTGTATTTTGGGCTGTGTACTCGGGCCATGCTCTGTCTGTTTCTCATTGGTCCGTATTTCAGCCTAAGTGGGGGGGCTGCACCTCTCGCATTCCACTTTTATGGGTCCATTTGTAACCACGTGTCAGGTCGTAGTCTTGCGTACGATCTGCTTCAGCTCAGGCCGTATATTCTCCGCAGTTTGGTGCCCTTTAGTTTGATCTCGCTGGGAAACACATGCACATACACATGCGTCAAAGCCATTTAGCCCACAGGTGTAGCGAACTCCCCCGAACGCTGTAAACACACCGTCTAAAACCTTCAGAAGATGCACCATTAATGCTTCTTTTTAACCCTTAGAACTCCAGGATTTTTGGAATTATTTATTTATTTTTTGGTATTTTTTGGGACAATTACAATTGCAATTGCAATTATGAAGTATTTACATGTGCCAGTCACACAAGCCATATGTTGTTATTTCATGTTTTCAAGTTTATCTGTCATTTGCACAACATGTGAGGACATTCACTCTACAGAAAGTAAACAAAGTAAAAATAAAAATATACACAAAATATATACAAAATATGGAGACAGGAGGGACCTATGTAAGGATATTTGTACTCTGCTATGTACAAATATATTTATATTAAACAGATAATCTGTGAAGAATATTTATACATTTTAAAGTGACTTAAGTGACTCAGTGTTATTGTTATGTAACAGTTATTTTCAGGAAACCCTGGGCTGCTCAGATATACCATTGTTTGACATGTAAATACTGACAGAAATTTGATATCTTTATGAATTTGTACATTTCTGATCAGAACTTTACCTAACGCCTGCTAAAGTTTGTCATTTTTTTGCTAATAGAAATCTTGAAAACAGGTGGAATTTCAGAAGCCTTTTCAGAAATTGTTAGTCTGGAGTGTCTGTGAGCTGAAAGTGCTAGTAATTTTGATGGTGATTCATTCTATTGGTTATTATGAGTAAAAATAAACGTTTTTTTATTGATTTTCTGGCCTTCTGGATTCAGGCTGAGTGCTAAAACTCTGATACACAGCAAGATAGGCATTATTTTTACTTAAAAAATGAGTTGCATATTTAATATCAGATATTTTTAATACTCAAAATCAATGTAAACTGAAAGACAGAGCTAGATATTATTAATTTTATTGTAATATTTGTCATATTTATTGTTATTTATCTGTTAAAATGTGTTTTAGGGCCTGTATGTGTGATTTTGAGGGAAAGAGGGAAAGTGCACTCATTGTGTTGAATGGGACGCTGCAGTTTTATCACCTTTTATCACCTTTTTTAAAGGCTAAAAGCAGAGATGTAGTATAACGGTAGCGAGTGGGTTGTGGGTGATTTTAGAGCTGGATTGCTGGCTGATGGATGGTCACAGGTGGATGAAATCACTCTGCATGGTGAGGCAGAATCTGAAGAGTGATCTGATGTGTGAATCAAGTCGCTGTTTTAACCCTTTGTTGGAATATGAAGGCCAAACAACAGAGCAGTAATATCAGGATTTTAGGTGATTTTCCGAGTCAAATTACTCACTGATGCTGACATCAAAGCTCAATGGCATCATGCTTGCTAGTTAGGGGCGGGTCTGCTGAATGTCCTGATATGTGGATCACATTTGTACCTTAAATCATTCTGAAGTTATGAAGGCTAGAAGTGACCTACCGTCTTGCCTGCAAACTGCGGAGGGTCCTAAAATCAGCACATGGTGTGTAGCAAACAAAGTGGAACTCAATTAACAGCTTCTTTACAAACACTGAGGTTCCTCCTAAAGCCTGAGTAGACTGATAAACCAATGTGGTGAGCCAGTTATGTATCTCAGCATCACTGAGTTCTTTTAAGGAAAGACTGATCTCCTGCTTGGGGGGTTATTAGGGCAGCAGTGAACTGTAGCAGCTTGTCAGATGAAAAAAAAAATGAAATAGTGAATTTACAATTAATTTTTCATGAAACATATTAACAGAATAATTATAGGACGAAAGCCAATCAGTAACAGCAAGAAAAAGGCTGTCGGAAGAAAACCTCATATCTCCATTTTTGTCGTTTTTCAGTTTTTGTCATAATCTGAAAATGGCTGTTACTCTTTACATTGTGTGTAAATTTCATGATGATTGGACCAAAAGAAACGTCCCAAAATGACTTGGAAAAAATTCTGGTTCCATTGACTTACATTAAAAGTACAGTATGTTTTTTCCTTCTTCTGTAAAGTTACCATTTTGGAGATACGAGGCTTTGTTCCGACACCAGCGAGATGTTCCTTATTATATACTGTAACTGAATATGTTGCTGACCACATTTAGGGCAGCGCATTCAGTACTTTTTCACAGTATTTTGCCCAAACCTGCATATAACAGCCTCATTCTTCTCTTATACAGACGAAGACATCTGTAAGCTGTACTGCATTGCAGAGGACTTTGACTTCTTCTTCGCCATGTCCAGCAAGGTCAAGGACGGCACGTCCTGCTCCGACAACAGACTGGACGTGTGCATCGACGGCATATGTGAGGTAAGGGGAGAGATTTTTTCCTTCTCTGCTGTTTTGAAGGGGAATTTTTCAGAATTTAGCTTAGTTCAGTCTGGAAGCTGCACACAGAGTCTTTCAGAGTGGTTTGATGTGAAATGCTTCATTGTACACACTTAAAAATGACAGTTCTTCAAGGGTTCTTTAGTAAAGAAAATGGTTCTTTGTAGCATCAAAAAGGGTTTTTTTCCATTGATACAAGCTTGACATTGTAACAATAGCAGAACCCTTTTTTGGTGTTATTTAGAACCATTTCTATATAGAACCATCTACAACACCATCTCCGTCAATCTGAAGAAGAATTTCATGATGCAAAGAACCCTTTAATCATGCAAATGGCTCTTTGAGTGTTCATGGTTCTATATAAAACCATTTTCTTTACTAAAGGAACCTTGAAGAATCATCACCTTTAAGTGTGTAGAGTCTTTACAGTGGTGGTGTTAAAACCAGGGGTTGCAAAATATAGCCATTTTATTTACACCAGTGAACCTACACATCTTCTGAGTTTTATATATAATTTTGATGATGGTAAAATAGTGATAAATCTGAAAAAATATGTTTTTTTGGGGGACTGTTTCATCTGCGGGGCGGCACGGTGGCGCAGTGGGTAGCGCTGTCGCCTCACAGCAAGAATGGCCTGTGTTCGATTCCCGGCCGGGTGACCAGGGTCATTTCTGTGTGGAGTTTGCCTGTTCTCCCCGTGTCTGCGTGGGTTTCCTCCGGGTACTCCGGTTTCCTCCCACAGTCCAAAAACATGCAGTCAGGCTGATTGGACATGCTGAATTGCCCCTAGGTGTGAATGTGTATGTCTGTCTGTCTGTGTGCCCTGCGATGGACTGGCGACCTGTCCAGGGTGTATCCTGCCATCCGCCCAATGACAGCTAGGATAGGCTCCAGCACCCCACCGCGACCCAGAAGGATAAGCGGTTTAGATGATGGATGGATGGATGGATGTTTCATCTGAATGCCATGAATATATTTTAAACAGCTTCTGAAACCCGTTGTAAAATGATGCCATAATATATTCGGAGCCATTTCCTGTAGAAGCGTTAAACTCTTCAGACGTCTGGTTCCTATCACCACCACACCGTCGTGAAAAATTCGGACTCAATAAGTTCACTTCAAAAAATGCTATCCTGTCATTGAGTGAAATGATCTTAAATCTAGTTGATATAATATATATTTTATCTAGTTCTAATATCTCTCATTTTTGAGATCATTGTAAGCTTATTATACGATTATTTAATTTATTTGCTGACATGTTTAAATTTTTGTTAGTGAGTTTCATGAAATGATTTGACCATAGAGACAGATGATTTTACTTGTTTTAGGCATATTTCTTACAACAAACAAAATTATATGTAGACAGTGAGGTCATTTTACTAGCTAGAATCACTTAAAACAAGTACAAATGTCTAGAAATAAGTTAAATAATCTTATAATAGGCTTACAGCAAATTAAAATGAGAAATATTACACGTATCAACTAGATTTAAGATCATTTCACTTGACAAGATGTCATTTTTTGCAGTGTTTCTCTAGAACAAGCATTTCACAGCAAACTTTTCTAATTTACTTTGTTAACAGTTGAATTATACAGAAATTGGTGGAGTTCCCCTTTAACATCGTTGCCAAGTGTCTAAGTTGTAAAAAACTGCTTGAATTGTGATGTCACAACCATGAACATGTTTATATATCATTGCTGTCCCAAAAAAAAAGCAAATATCTCTAAAATAATAACTTATAACTTATAACTTTCTTTAGTTTATTTTGGTCCATTCGTTATGAAATCTTCATACAATATAAAGGGTGTTTTTTTTTTAAACATTCACATATATTTTTTAAACGCTCATCAGCCATAAAGTTAAGTCTACCTTCTTATATCTACACTCATTGTCCATTTTATCAGCTCCACTTACTATATAGGTGCACTTTGTAGTTCTACAGTTACAGACTGTAGTCCATCTGTTTCTCTGCATACTTTGTTAGCCCCCTTTTACCCTGTTCTTCAGTGGTCAGGACCCCCATGGACCCTCACAGAGCAGGTACTATTTGGGTGGTGGATCATTCTCAGCACTGCAGTAACGCTGATATGGTGGTGGTGTGTCAGTGTGTGTTGTGCTGGTCTGTGTGGATCAAACACAGCAGTGCTGCTGGAGTTTTTAAACACTGTGTCCACTCACTGTCCACTCTATTAGACACTCCTACATTATCAGTCCACCTTGTGGATGTAAAGTCAGAGACGATAGCTCATCTGCTGCTGCACAGTTTGTGTTGGTCATCCTCTAGTCCTTCATCAGTGGTCACAGGACGCTGCCCACAGGACGCTGTTGGCTGGATATTTTTGGTTGGTGGACTATTCTCAGTCCAGCAGCGACACTGAGGTGTTTAAAAACTCCAGCAGCACTGCTGTGTCTGATCCACTCAGACCAGCGCAACACACACTAACACACCACCACCACATCAGTGTTACTGCAGTGCTGAGAATGATCCACCACCCAAATAGTACCTGCTCTGGGAGGGTCCATGGGTGCTGATAAAATGGACAATGAGCGCAGAAACAAGGAGGTGGTCATAATGTTATGGCTGATTCATGTATATTTCAGTTTTACATATATCAGCCTTAAAGGCACAGTAAGAAAAGACAGCCTGTTTAATTTGAGAGGTTGAAAAATGACCATTTAAAAATTATTACGATTGTTTTTGGTACATAAAGCTGCACAAATAGAGTAAAAATGTATGATACGGTTCTTTTATGGGACACTACACTATCACACAGTTATACTGTGTTTTACAGTGCGCCGCTGCAGTTCTCTAGCATTCAGTGGTGTTCATGTGCAGAACTGAGCGCTCTGTCATTCTGCACCAGCTCATAATGTCATTCTAATCTCACTTCTCTTTTTCCTCTCTTCCTGTGGAGCCGGTGGGCTGTGACCAGGTGCTGGGCTCCTCCGCTGCGCTGGATGCCTGCGGAGTGTGTAAAGGAGACAACTCCACCTGCAAACTGTATAGCGGGCAGTACAACCTGCAGCACAGAGCCAACGGTACGGCCGAGAGAGGAGGAGGAGAGATTATCTCTCTGAGGAATACACTCGCTCACACTGCACTGCGAAAAATAGTAGCTTGACAAGTGAAATGATCTTAAATCTAGTGGGTCTATCTAATATTTCCCATTTTGAGAAGGTTGTGCACTAATTATATGATCATCTAGTTTATTTCTAGACATTGTTTACTTGTTTTAGGTCATTTTATTAAGTAAATTATCTCACTGTACTGGCATTTTTTGTGATTTTACTGTTTTCAAGCACATTTCTTACAACAAGCACAATTATCTGCCAATAAAGTGAGATAAATTTACTTAATATAATTACTTAAAACAAGTAAATTGTCTAGAACTAAGGTAAATAATCTTAAATTAAGCTCACAACAGTCTCGACAGGAGAAATAGATATAGCGACTAGGGGTGGGAATCTCTAGGCACCTCACGATTCGATTCGATTACGATTCAGAGGCTGCAATGCGATTATAAAACGATTATCAATGCATCTCGATGCATCTTTTTTCTCTATACAGGATTTCTATCTTCCCACTGTCTGAGGACTTGGTAGTTTTAAAGCAAAGTATTTGTAATGATCCATAATGTAAATGCATAACGGATCATTACAAATACTTTGCTTTAATTATCTAAAATATCTTTTATTAATAAATCAAATGGAAGTGATGTGGCAAGTGAACTAGAAGGCTCTCATTCAGAGACGCTGCTGCCACTCATCTGCGATAAAATGCGCTGTTGCCCTGAAATAAGATCCAGTGGTAATGGGTGTCCACGCAGCGCATTACAGCCACCCTTTTGGTCTCGTTGTAGAGAGTGGGGGGGTATTTTCGAGACTGGGCGCTGAATCTCGGCTCCAAAGTGTGCAGCATAGCCCTGGTTCTCAACGACTGAGAACAGACAGCAGACAGCAGGTCACATAGCCCCGAGGTCTGGCCTCGCCAGTAGCGAACGAAAAAACAGATTAAGACGAACATTTGGAGGGCTTATTCGCATTTATAAGCAGCGCGGTTGGTTAAATCTGCTGAGAGACTGTCTTTCTCTAAAAAGTTGCGAAAACGAACTCGCTTCTCTTTCGAATTTTCCCGTTCCACCTTAAATGGTGCAGCAGTTAAATTTGGCGCCTAAGGCAGAATTTAAGGTGGAACGGGAAAATTAGAACGAGAAGCTGGCGAATGAGAAGCGACTTCAGCCTCGTAAAACAGCCGGACGCCGAGACATTTTACAAGAAACTCTTCTAGTTTTGAAGAAAGGTTTTCTGGCGGAGATGGGAGGAAAGCGGCTAAAGCTAAAGCTTAAAGCAGAGCGAAGTAAATCTGTGCTCTCGTTTATATTTTTAGCCCATACTAGGACATTAATACATACTGAGACAAACTGGGCATTAAATGTTGTGGCTCCCAAGGTGGTTTGACTTCGTTGAAAGGCAAAATGGCTCTTCTTATCATTTGTGTTGTGACTCCTGACCTGACCTGGCTTTAATGCAGAGGGAGCCGGTTGAATTTCTCGCTCCCCAGTAGTGTTTTTGTTATGTGCCGCCACAGACTGTCCGGGCGCTGCAGTTCCGCACTTCCAGTTCAGCCTTTTGCGTTCCGTCAACATTATGTTATAAATTAAATATTTAGAAAATCAATTTTTGACGTTGAACGAATCGATTCAGAATCGTTCATGTCCGCATCGCGATGCATCTAAGAATCGAGTTTTTCCCGCACCCCCAGTAGCGACTATATTTAGGATAATTTTACTTGACAAGACACCATTTTTTGCAGTGTAATTCTCAGGCTATGTTGATACTGCCAGCCCAAATCTGATATTTGGCACAGAAAGATTGTATCCAGATTGATTTTTGATAGTGTGGACAGCAAAAAAACACATCCAGCTTTTGCAAATCTGATCCAAACCGCATTTGGAAGTGCTTTGAAATGCGATTCCAGTCAGATTTTTACAGATGTGCCTCAGCGTGGACGCTCCGGACGCTCAGATCAGATTTTAAAGGGTCTTTAACAACACGACAAACAGTGACGATGTCCAATCCAGAGTGATGAAGTGCTGGGATTCCAGAAGAGCTCCAAAGATTCATGATTATGAAGAGAATCCTGGAGAGTTTGGAGGACGAGATGATGCTCCTCCATCTCTCCTGCAGCCGCGTCTGAAATCCGCATCACCAGCGTACATAGCTACATAGTTACTGACGCCTACGTCGTTACCACGGCAACCCATGAAGATAGACTAGGGATGTCTGGAGGCACAAATCTGATCACAAAAGATCTGATCTGAAAAAGTAATCCGATCTGCCTGCAGTCTGAACACAGCCTAACATTTCTCTTGTTTAAATCGTGTTTCAAGCATTTTTTTTATACAGCAAGCAAAACTATCTGGCAATATAGTGAGATAATTTTACTATTTACTCATTTTAAGTGAAATAATGTGTATGAATAAGTTAAATAATTCTATGATACGCTTATAACAATCTCGACATGAGAAATAAAAGCTATTTTGAGTAGATTTAGATAGTTTCACTTAGTAAGATAGCATTTTTTGCAGTGTGCCAAATTGTATACTGTTAGACAGGGGTGGGCGATATGGCAATATATAAATAATAAACATATATAACTATATATATATTATATATATATATATAATATATATAATGTCTTAATACTAAACAACTAAACATAATGCTAAACAAGACGTTACTGATACACATCATATATATTTCAGTTTTATGATATTTCAGTTTATTCAGAGGTTTGATGAGTGACTCTTCACTAATCTGCACTAATTCCAATTAAACAGGACTAATTAAGCTCTCTTTATAATATAACATGCAGTTGTTTGTTCATTTAGAAATGACTGTTTTCTCTGATAAATAAATAATAAATAGCTGTTTTCTTTGCTCTCTCTCTTTCTCTCTCTTTGCTCTCGCTTTCTTTTTGCTCTCCCCTTGCTCTTTTTCTGTCTTTCTCTTTGTTTCTTTCCCTCTCTCTTTGCACTCTCTCTCTCTATATCACTGTATCTCTGTTTTTGCTCTCTCTCCCTTTTTCTCTCTGTCTCTTTGCTTTTTTTGCACTTTTTTTGTTCTTTTCTTTGCTCTTTTTTTCTCTCCTCTCTCTCTCTCTCTCTCTCTCTCTCATTTTGCTGTGTCTCTCTTTTCTGTGCTCGTTCTCTCTCTTTATATATATATTACTCTCTCTTTTTGCTTTTTTTCCTTTCTGCTCTCTCTGTTTCTGTCTTTTTGCTCTCTGTCCTTTTTGCTCTCTATTTTCTTTGCTCTCTTTCTCCCTCTCATTTTGCTGTCTCTCTTTTCCATACTCTTTCTCTTTCTTGCTGTCTCTCTCTGTTTTTGCTCTCTCTTTTTGCTCTCTCTCTCTCTCTCTCTCTCTTCTTTGTTCTCCTACTCTCTCTCTGTCTCTCTATCTTTTTGCTCTTTCTCTCCTTTTTGCTTTTTTCTCTCCTTTGCTCTCTCTCTCTCTCTCTCTCTCTCTGTGTGTAGAGTATTACTCCATGGTAACAGTCCCTGCCGGAGCCCGTAGTATTCGTGTTCAGGAGGTGGAGATTTCTTCCAGTTACCTGGCGGTCAGAGGAACGAAACGTGGCTCGTATTATCTGACCGGAGACTGGACGGTGGACTGGCCAGGGAAATTCCACTTTGCTGGAACGACTTTCCACTACCAGCGCTCGTTCAACCAGCCGGAGAGTCTGTACGCCGCTGGACCCACTAATGAGAGCCTGGTGTTTGAAGTGAGTCACCAAACTGTCCACCGCCATCTCAGTGTGCTAAGAGTAGACCACTGCTCAAATGTCTGGTCAGCAGAGGTCCTGTGGTCAGAAACTGATCAATAATGAATGGGGGTCTGATAAACTGTACAGCAACAGATGGACTACAGTCTGTACACCTGCATAGTGGAGCTATGAGGCAGGTGTTTCTAATAAAGTGACCAGTGAGTGGAAGCACAAGGTAGGTGTTTCTAATAAAGTGGCCAGTTAGTAGAAGTACAAGGTGGGTGTTTCTAATAAAGTGGCCAGTGAGTGGAAGTACAAGGTAGGTGTGTCTAATAAAGTGACCAGTGAGTGGACGCACAAGGTAGGTGTTTCTAATAAAGTGGCCAGTGAGTGGAAGTACAAGGTAGTTGTTTCTAATAAAGTGACCAGTGAGTGGAATTAGAGGGTAGGTGTTTCTAATAAATTGGCCAGTGAGTGGAATTAGAGGGTAGGTGTTTCTAATAAATTGGCCAGTCAGTGGAAGCACAAGGTAGGTGTTTCTAATAAAGTGGCCAGTGAGTGGATGTACAAGGTAGTTGTTTCTAATAAAGTGACCAGTGAGTGGACGCACAAGGTAGGTGTTTCTAATAAAGTGGCCAGTGAGTGGAATTAGAGGGTAGGTGTTTCTAATAAATTGGCCAGTGAGTGGAAGTACAAGGTAGGTGTTTCTAATAAAGTGGCCAGTTAGTAGAAGTACAAGGTGGATGTTTCTAATAAAGTGGCCAGTGAGTGGAAGTACAAGGTAGGTGTTTCTAATAAAGTGACCAGTGAGTGGACGCACAAGGTAGGTGTTTCTAATAAAGTGGCCAGTGAGTGGAATTAGAGGGTAGGTGTTTCTAATAAATTGGCCAGTCAGTGGAAGCACAAGGTAGGTGTTTCTAATAAAGTGGCCAGTGAGTGGAAGTACAAGGTAGTTGTTTCTAATAAAGTGACCAGTGAGTGGACGCACAAGGTAGGTGTTTCTAATAAAGTGGCCAGTGAGTGGAATTAGAGGGTAGGTGTTTCTAATAAATTGGCCAGTCAGTGGAAGCACAAGGTAGGTGTTTCTAATAAAGTGGCCAGTGAGTGGAAGTACAAGGTAGTTGTTTCTAATAAAGTGACCAGTGAGTGGACGCACAAGGTGGGTGTTTCTAATAAATTGGCCAGTGAGTGGAAGTACAAGGTAGGTGTTTCTAATAAAGTGGCTACAAGATAGGTGTTTCTGATATAGTGGCCAGTGAATGTGGTCTCTTGGGGCCTATTTACACATCATCTCATATCACAGTGGGGGGGGGATTTAGACCTGAATCTTTCCTCTTAACTCTTCAGCCTCTTGTCGTCCTCAGTATCAGTGACTGCGCCGTATTTCGTCTGAGCTGTTTCAGTTAGTTTGTCAGTGATGTTTTATTCCAGGTTTAGATCTGATTTGTCTGCTCTTTGATCTGCTCTGTTCTTTTATATAACACTGCTGTGACAGTCCACTCTCTACCTATGCTCACACTCTCTCTCTTACTCTGTCTCTCTCTCTCACTCTCTCTATCTCTCTCTCTCTCATTCTCTCTCTCTCTCTATCTCTCTCTCGCTCTTTCTCTTTCTAGAGCTCCCCTTGTCTGTCAGTCTCTCTCTTTCTTTCTCTTTTGCTTTTTCTTTCTTTCTTTCTTTCTTTCTTTCTTTCTTTCTTTCTGTCTCTCTTTTTCTCTTTCTTTCCTGTTTTTCTTTCTTTCTTTCTTTCTTTTATCTTTTTTCGTTCTCTCTTTTTCTGCTTCTCTCTGCCTCTCTTTCTTTCTTTCTTTTTCGCTCTTTTTGTCTCATTTTCTTTCTCTCTTGCTCTGTTCTTTCTTTCTCTCTTTTTTCTTTTTTCTCTTTTATCTCTTCTTTCTTTCTTTCTTTAATTTCTCTCTCTACCTTTCTCGTTTTCTGCTTCTCTTGTCTCATCTTCTTTCTCTTTCCCTCTATCTCTTTTCACTTTCTCATTCTTTATGCTTTTCTTTTTCTTTCACTCTTTCTTTATCTGTATATCTTTCTGTCTTTTCACTCTTTCATCTCTCTCTCCCTCTCTCTCCCTCTCTAACCTTCTCTCCCTCTCTTTCTCTCTCTCTCTCTCACTCTCTCTCTCTAGACTGATTCGTAGATAATCTTCTCTGTAATCACAGAAGGAGTGATGAGGGCGGGCTGAGATTAAAAGATTAAGATTTTTTGTAATTTATCTGAATAGATCAGAGAATCGCTGAGACCTCATTGCGCAAATGAAAAGACAGCAGAAGGGAGAGAATAATAGAGAGAGAGAGAGGGAGAGAGAGAGAGAGAGAGAGATGGTGATGCCCCATACTGAAAAGAAAAACGTGCATGTACGTTCTTATGTGTGAGGAACGTCATATACATTGTTTTATCACTAAAGAACGGCTGTTGATGAACACTCGACGGCCGTTTCGGTCTCTGATTCATCTCGGCACGTTTAGCAGAATAAATTCAGAGGAACTGCAGAAGATTCGCGGGACAGAAATGAGGTGGTCCAGACCAGACATAACAGAACGGTTCTGCTGAACCCAACACGGTTCTGTTTGAAACTCTAGAGCAGATTAATTTAGGTATTTACGTTTTTGTGGCTGGACTTTGCTGGGGTCATGCAAGTTCAAATCAGCAGACTGACATTGAGCTTACCACACCCCCCCTCCACACACACACACACACACACACGGCCTCCACACTTCAATCTGTCATTTACTTCCAGAAACAGAATCAGTTTTTTTAAAAGCCAGAAATGATTTTATTCCTTGTTGTTTGATAGCTGTTGTTTTGCCCCTAGAGGCCACAAATGGCATTACAAGCTGTCCCCCAATTCAGGGGCTGCATCCTTCGAAGGCTGCATAGCCCCACGAAGGCTGAGCCAAATGAGACGGTTCTGTTGTCTTATAGAAATACATTAATGCACCTCTGAGCTACCTGAGGACATTAAGAGCTGCAATAGTCCTTTTTTGGGCTTTTGGGTGTTTTCATTTGACTTTTTATTCACTTTTATTGAAGAAAACCTGCTTGATGTTCTGCTTTGTGGATTGCTGCAGTGCTTCCTAACAAGACCAACTAATAACATAATAATAAGCTTAGCACGTACACATTTATTTGAGATTAACAGCTTGACACGGTTTAAGCCTTGCTAAGTCATAGCCACGCATTAGGATCTGGTTCCCATGTCTTACTAAGTCGTAGCCACGCATTAGGATCTGGTTCCCATGTCTTACTAAGTCGTAGCCACGCATTAGGATCTGGTTCCCATGTCTTACTAAGTCGTAGCCACGCATTAGGATCTTGTTCCCATGTCTTACTTAGTTGTAGCCACGCATTAAGATCTTGTTCCCACACCTTACTAAGTCATAGCCACGCATTAGGATCTTGTTCCCACGCCTTACTAAGTTGTAGCCATACATTAAGGTCTCGTTCCCACACCTTACTAAGTCGTAGCCACGCATTAGGATCTGGTTCCCATGTCTTACTAAGTCGTAGCCACGCATTAGGATCTTGTTCCCATGTCTTACTTAGTTGTAGCCACGCATTAGGATCTTGTTCCCACGCCTTAATAAGTCGTAGCCACGCATTAGGATCTTGTTCCCACACCTTACTAAGTCGTGGTCCATGCCCACTCCTAAGTCGTTGTGGCCCATGCCTTACTAAGTCATAGCCACGCATAGGATCTTGTTCCCACACCTTACTAAGTCGTGGTCCATGCCCACTCCTAAGTCGTTGTGGCCCGTGCCTTACTAAGTCGTAGCCACGCATTAGGATCTTGTTCCCACGCCTTACTAAGTCATAGCCACGCATTAAGGTCTCGTTCCCACACCTTACTAAGTCGTAGCCACGCATTAGGATCTTGTTCCCACACCTTACTAAGTCGTAGCCACGCATTAGGATCTGGTTCCCATGTCTTACTAAGTCGTAGCCACGCATTAGGATCTTGTTCCCATGTCTTACTTAGTTGTAGCCACGCATTAGGATCTTGTTCCCACGCCTTAATAAGTCGTAGCCACGCATTAGGATCTTGTTCCCACACCTTACTAAGTCGTGGTCCATGCCCACTCCTAAGTCGTTGTGGCCCATGCCTTACTAAGTCATAGCCACACATTAGGATCTTGTTCCCACACCTTACTAAGTCGTGGTCCATGCCCACTCCTAAGTCGTTGTGGCCCATGCCTTACTAAGTCGTAGCCATGCATTAGGATCTTGTTCCCACGCCTTACAAAGTCATGGCCCACGTCTACTCCTAAGGATCTTGTTCCCACACCTTACTAAGTCGTGTTCCATGCCCACTCCTAAGTCGTTGTGGCCCATGCCTTACTAAGTCATAGCCACGCATTAGGATCTTGTTCCCACGCCTTACTAAGTCATAGCCACGCATTAAGGTCTCGTTCCCACACCTTACTAAGTCGTAGCCACGCATTAGGATCTTGTTCCCACGCCTTACTAAGTCAGGGCCCACGTCTACTCCTAAGGATCTTGTTCCCACACCTTACTAAGTCGTGGTCCTTGCCCTTTCCTAAGTCGTTGTGGCCCATGCCTTACTAAGTCATAGCCACGCATTAGGATCTTGTTCCCACGCCTTACTAAGGCTTGGCCATGCACTATTTGTATTATATGCGATGTCACCAGCAGGGCTCCCTCTGTTTCAGTGAACCCCGCCTGGTTACATTTGCACTCACTCCACTTTCAGCTGAATCATTCATAAACTTTAGGTGCTGGAAACAAAGTTTACATTTTCCTTTGTAGCAGAGATTTCTAGGTTGTGTCTGCATAAAAAATATCTTGCAGAAATGCTTTTAAATTATTAAGCAAAAAATACAAAGTCTGTTCCTCAATTCTGAGCTCCATAATTCTGGGTAAGATCCAGTTTGGTTTACACAATGCTGTGCACTGTCTTACCTGCCCGGGGATCAGCTTTGGAGCTGTTCTCCGCTCGCGTCCTGCTCCAACAAGCAGAGGACACGCACACATACACATCCGCACGGCCGCCCGGCTCCAGAGGGAATGCATATGTAAAACCTATATGCCCCTCTTGTCGCTGAACCTGATCCAGCCGGCGGGAATTTTTTGCTTGAAGCTAACCCGCTAATCTGACAGAGCCTCCTGGGGAGGCCTGAAGAGTGCTATTGTGTGTTCTGTGACCCGACTCAGAGATAATCTGCCACTCCAGCACCAGCCTGCCACCCGTTTCCTGCTACAAACATGAAAGTGAGCTCGGGGTGGGGAGGTGGGGGGGGTCAGTCTGCAGAAATTAGAGCGTGAGGATCATTAATCCATTGTTCTATGCTTCATTTTTAGCCCATCGCTTTGACCTGCGATTACAATACAACACAATGGCTTAATGTTAACACTAATGGGGGGCATTTCATGTTTTAGGGGGGCTCAAATCATAACACTTGTCCTAACTGAATCCCAAACTCATCCACAGAAACTGTAGAACAGACTGAGTTTATATCACAATACCTACATTTAGAGCCGGTTATTCATTCAACCTAATGAGAAACTGTAGAACAGACTCAGTTTATATCACAATACCTACATTTAGAGTCGGTTATTCATTCAGCCTAATGAGAAACTGTAGAACAGACTCAGTTTATATCACAATACCTACATTTAGAGTCGGTTATTCATTCAACCTAATGAGAAACTGTAGAACAGACTCAGTTTATATCACAATACCTACATTTAGAGTCAGTTATTCATTCAACCTAATGAGAAACTGTAGAACAGACTCAGTTTATATCACAATACCTACATTTAGAGTCGGTTATTCATTCAACCTAATGAGAAACTGTAGAACAGACTCAGTTTATATCACAATACCTACATTTAGAGTCGGTTATTCATTCAACCTAATGAGAAACTGTAGAGCAGACTCAGTTTATATCACAATACCTACATTTAGAGTCGGTTATTCATTCAACCTAATGAGAAACTGTAGAACAGACTCAGTTTATATCACAATACCTACATTTAGAGTCAGTTATTCATTCAGCCTAATGAGAAACTGTAGAACAGACTCAGTTTATATCACAATACCTACATTTAGAGTCGGTTATTCATTCAACCTAATGAGAAACTGTAGAACAGACTCAGTTTATATCACAATACCTACATTTAGAGTCGGTTATTCATTCAACCTAATGAGAAACTGTAGAACAGACTCAGTTTGTATCACAATACCTACATTTAGAGTCAGTTATTCATTCAGCCTAATGAGAAACTGTAGAACAGACTCAGTTTGTATCACAATACCTACATTTAGAGTCGGTTATTCATTCAACCTAATGAGAAACTGTAGAACAGACTCAGTTTATATCACAATACCTACATTTAGAGTCAGTTATTCATTCAGCCTAATGAGAAACTGTAGAACAGACTCAGTTTATATCACAATACCTACATTTAGAGTCGGTTATTCATTCAGCCTAATGAGAAACTGTAGAACAGACTCAGTTTATATCACAATACCTACATTTAGAGTCGGTTATTCATTCAGCCTAATGAGAAAACTGTAGAACAGACTCAGTTTATATCACAATACCTACATTTAGAGTCAGTTATTCATTCAGCCTAATGAGAAACTGTAGAACAGACTCAGTTTATATCACAATACCTACATTTAGAGTCGGTTATTCATTCAGCCTAATGAGAAACTGTAGAACAGACTCAGTTTATATCACAATACCTACATTTAGAGTCGGTTATTCATTCAGCCTAATGAGAAACTGTAGAACAGACTCAGTTTATATCACAATACCTACATTTAGAGTCGGTTGTTCATTCAGCCTAATGAGAAACTGTAGAACAGACTCAGTTTATATCACAATACCTACATTTAGAGTCGGTTATTCATTCAGCCTAATGAGAAACTGTAGAACAGACTCAGTTTATATCACAATACCTACATTTAGAGTCGGTTATTCATTCAGCCTAATGAGAAACTGTAGAACAGACTCAGTTTATATCACAATACCTACATTTAGAGTCGGTTATTCATTCAGCCTAATGAGAAACTGTAGAACACATTTGTATTACAATAAAAGCAGTTTTAGCTATTCAACAGTAGCTGAATTGGAAACCACACCAATGTAGAATTAGTCACTACTTTATTGTTAGCTTGATTATTTGACATAAAAACACTTGGTAAGAGTTTTATTCTGAATGTTTTGCTGAGAAAAGGATCAAGATTGTTTGATGGCATGTCTGGCCCCCTTTAATTAAGGCTGACCGATTTGGGGAAAATATCTAATTGTGATTTTTCTGACAAATATTGCGACTAGAATTTAAAATAGAATTATTTTCTATAAATTAAGATTCAGGCCTGTTTTGTTTTGGCCCGGAAAGACCAGAATGTCCCCCCGTTCCGTCTCTTCTGGCTTGAATTTAATGTGCCAGACTAATGTGCCGTAAGTTGTGGTTGTGATGTCACAACACATGGAGGTTTGGTTGGATCTGATTGGTCAAACTTATCAACAGGCAGTTCACGAGCTCTGTGTTATTAGTTTAAATTTCCCTACTTCAAACTTAATAATATAGGCTGTAATTTAAAAAATTGCAGCTTTTGCAATTTGAAAATTGCACCTGTTAAATTGCAATTACGATATAAAAGCGACTCATTTTTCAGCCCTACCTTTAATATCAGTTTACACCATGCTTTTGTCTTTGCCGGTGACCTCTGTGGCTCCTACGGGGTTAAACTGTAAGGCGTTGTTTTATGAATGGCAGTTCAGTGCAGCTCTGTGTAAACCTGCTCTTTCACACGAATCAGGATAGCCTGCTGGATCTGAGCTCAGCTTAAATCACTCGTGCCTAATTGTAGTTTTGCTGAAGCTGCATTGTCCCTCTATTTGCTTCATGCAATTCAGTCTGTTATTTGCAGCCACTGTGTTGTCATTGCGTTCGCTTGTTTTCTTTATGCAGGGGGTTGCCAGATAGTGAAAAAAACATCTTTAAGAATGGAATAAAGGCCCTGTTCTTTCAGGAGGACTTTTCCACTCCATTTAAGTCAACCTCAGGCATGACAACGCCCACCCCCCCCACACCCATCCTGCTCAGGTCTAATGTGCGACTTCCTACACGGTTCTATCTCAAATCTGACTGACTCAGAGCTTCTCCGGGACCACCCACCTGATCAGCGCCCCACACACTCCACGCAAATATAATAATGCTCCACGATAAGTTCACCAAACCTCACGATCGGCAGAAAATCCAGAACAGATTCAGCAAGTTGTCTCTTTTTTATGGCCCATGATGTAAATGGCACGCTTCAGTTCAGACACGTACAGACTCCCATTCAAACATCTTGACGTGTAAGCAGCGGTCAGCGCCTCAGCTGACCACTGTGTCTGGGAACAAAGAAAGTAAGGAAGGGCTGTGTTTAACCCTTTAAAGGAGAATTACACTGATGTCTGCATCGTTCAGTGTGTGAGATGTAAACAGAGTGATGTCCTTACAGTGGTGGTGATAGGAACCAGGGGTCGCCATGACTACAACACAAATATAGACATTTTATTTACTATCCAGAACCACCAGCGAACCTACACAAGTCTTCTGAGTTTATATGGAATGTTGATGATGGGAAAACAGCGGAAAACCTGAAATGATACGTTTTCTTTAGGGACTATTTTGCCTCACAATACCCTGCATATCATGTATCCCTCCACCATGAATGGAGTTTAAGGCCAGAATCTTCTCAAAACTATCATAAAACAGTGTCTCAGTCATCAGGCAGTGAATTCATAACCATTTCATGTAGTAACTTTCTGTGAGGGAGCTGTGAGAGGTGGATGTCTGGTTCCTATCACCACCACTGTGAACAGACTCGGTAAGTTTATCTAGAACGGAGCGTTTCACACCAAACCACTCTGAATGACTGACAACTTTTTGGATAAACCATCACTTTAAACTGCAGGTTAATAAGCAGTTATTAATCTTAATACTCATAGTTAATACCTACTATGAATTATTCAGTTACTGTTATGATTTATTCATTCTATACTATGAATTACTCAGTTACAGTTGTGAATGCTATGAATTATTCAGTGTCTATTATACATTATTCAGTGACCGTTATGATTTATTTAGTTATTCTATGATTTAATCAGTTACTGTTATGAATTATTGGTTACCTACCATGAATTTTTCAGGAAATATCATGAATTATTATTAAGTATGTACGATAAATTATTCTGTATTTACTATAAAACTGATGTGCTGTTTTGTAAACTGTAAAAATGGTTTGTCAGTCCAACCTAAAAACACTTTAAGTATTTTTCTGACTTGAATAAACACAGTTCAGTTGTTCATTGAAGTCACATAAAGTCACTGAACTGAAGTGACAGTGTTTAAGGAGGTTGACTGACTTATCGCCCTTTATTCACTTGTTCTTTTCTCCTACTCTCTCCATCCACACACTCTTTTCCCCTCAGATCCTGCTGCAGGGGAAGAACCCAGGCGTGCTGTGGGAGTACACACTGCCCCTACAGGAGAAAAAACCCAACTACACCTGGACCGTGATCCGCTCTGACTGCTCAGCTACATGCGCAGGAGGTGAGAGAGAGAGAGAGAGAGAGAGAGAGAGAGAGAGAGAGAGAGAGAGAGGAGAGAGAGAGAGAGAGAGAATATGAGGGGTTTTGAAAGAAAAAGGGGAAATGTAGCGAGAGGTAAAGAGAAAGGGGGAGATAGAGAGATAAAGAGAGAAAAAGAGAGATAAGTACTAAAAAGAGAGAGGTAAAGAGAAATAGGTAGAGAAATAGAGAGAGAGAGAGATAAAAAGAGGGAATTGAGAGACAGAGAGAGAGAGAGAATATTAGGGGTTTTGAAAGAGAAAGATAAAGAGATAGATTAGAGAAAGAGAGAGAGATAGACAGAGAGGGTAGAGAGAGATAAAGCGAAAAAGAGAAATGTAGAGATAGAGAGTATAGAGAAACAGAGAGAGAGGTAGAGGGAAGAGTAGAAAGAGATAAAGAGAATATAGAGAGATAAAGAGAGAAAAATAAAAAGAGCAGAGAGAAAAAGAGATAAAGAGTAATAATAAGAGAGAGAGGTAAAGAGAAAGAGCGATAGAGAGAGTAGTGAGAGATAAAGAGAGTGGAGAGGGAGTAGAGAAAGAGATAGAGTGAGTGAGACAAAAAGAGGGAATAGAGAAAGAGAGAGAGACACACACAGAAAGAGAGAAAGAGGAAATAGAGACAGATAAAAAGGGAATAGAGAGAGAGAGAGATGAAAAAGAGGGAATAGAGAAAGAGAGAGAGACACACACACAGAAAGAGAGAGAGAGAGAAAGAGGAAATAGAGAAAGATAAAAGGGAATAGAGAGAGATGAAAAAGAGGGAATAGAGAAAGAGAGAGAGAGAGAGAGAGACACAAAGAGAGAGAGACAGAGAGAGAGAGAGACACAAAGAGAGAGAGAGACAGAGAGAGAGAGAGAGAGACAAAGAGAGGGAGAGAGAGAGAGAGACAGAGAGAGAGACAGAGAGAGAGAGAGAGACACAAAGAGAGAGAGAGTATGATGGGTTTTTATGTGTTTATATAAGGCTTGTGTTGTGTGGGAGGCAGAAAGTTTGCCCAAATTTATCAAAAGCTCCTTTGTGAAAGATAAATACCCCCCTCCCCCGCTCCACCTTCACCACGGCCCACCCTTCATTCACTCATCAGTGTGTGTGTGTGTGTGTGTGTGTGTGTGTGTGTGTGTGTCAGTGTCTTCCCCATTCATTCACTCTCTCAGCTCTCGGTGGGAGCTGAACGCAGACAGACAGAGCTGTGATGGGCCCACAGCACACCTCTCTATCTAGTCTGTCTCTTTTTCTGTCCTCCAGTTCTGCTGTAACACAGGCCACAGTGTAGAGCTGCCATTCAGCCTCAAAACCAGCCCTCAGAAATAAAGTGGAGAACCGGCAGTTCTAGATTTTACCACACGGCTTCCCAGCTCGTGCTGAGTGATGTTTATTTTTAAAATTGTGGATTGCAGTTTGATCACCCTGATCAAATTCCATATTCAGTTGATTTTCTAAGTGAAAATAAGTTAATACATCCTCTACAGAGACACACTTAAATATGATGTTTTTCCGCATATGTCGGTCCACAGATTCTATAAAAAAAATTATATATATACACACACACACCGATCAGCCACTTCAATAAAACCACCTCCTTGTTTCCACGCTCATTGTCCATTTTATCAGCTCCACTTACTATATAGGTGCACTTTGTAGTTCTACAGTTACAGACTGTAGTCCATCTGTTTCTCTGCATACTTTGTTAGCCCCCTTTTACTCTGTTCTTCCGTGGTCAGGACCCCCACAGGACCACCACAGAAACAAATGGACTGCTGTAGTTGTAGACTTACAAAGTGCTCCTATATAGTAAGTGGAGCTGATAAAATGGACAATAAGTGGAGAAACAAGGAGGCGGTTTTAATATTATTTCTGATCGGTGTATATATATATATATATATATAATGTGCCATAACTTTTGCACAGGCCATATTGTATTGTTTGTTTTCAAATCAAATCATCTCAAATCATCATTAGACTCTAAATATATACACATATACACAATATACACATTAGTATACACCAGTACGCACCGTTCCAATGTACAGTTTTTGTACAGTAATATCAGTTATAAAATAAAAGCTATGGTATGTGCAGTGTTACATATTTCCATATATGCAATATGTGAGTCTGAGATTAATAAATGAGAAGCAGGGTACACAGGGGATAGAATATATCACTATATATATATATATATATATTCCAGATTACAGTATTTTACCAATATGTTAAATTCTGTAAATAAACAGTAATTGTGTATTAAAATGTGCAAAAGTGTGTTTATTAGAATTAACAACAACATGCAGTTTGACCAGGGGTGCCAAAATCTTTGCATACGACTGTAATACAGGTGTATCATTTGGTTGCACATGTTTAAGACCGACACTCGGTGTTAATAGGCCATTTATTTAGTTTACATTAGTATACAGTTAATGCTATTTCATTGTCACTCAAGTGACAGTTTATTTCTTTGTTTGAAGAGCAGCAGGGGGGGACGGGGGGACAGGGAGGGACAGGGAGGGACAGGGTGGGTGGATCAGAGTGAAACGAAAGCCTCATACTGCATGTCTTTAATTATCATCTCTCTTAATCCTCTGTTGCACGATGTTGCCTCACGGCAGCAAACGAATCTTCCTCACTTTACAATAACATTGAACATATTTATTTAATGATTAAAGGGTTACAAATAAATAGAAGAGTTTGAGTAAGTCAATAAAAAGTAGCTTACTTGTTCACACTACCTCTTATTGGCCACCTTTAAATCTGTTTTTAAACATTCAGTATCATTTTTTTTTGTCATGAGAATCCAAAAACACCCCTGCATGTTTTTTAAAATGTTTTTGAATTTAATACTCGGGTCCATTTTATGCAAGAGAAGTAAATTGAATATTTTTTTTTTCAATTGCTCTCATAATGTGTGCAGTAGAGGGTTAAATAAGAAAAAATATTCACAAAAAAAATAAAAATAAAAAAATAAAATTTTACTCACTTTACTCAAAGAATTGCTTTGATTGATAGTGTATTAATGTACAGCCCACACATTTAATTATGTGTGAAATTTAAAGGTCCATTGGAAAAAAAAGAAAAGCCTGTTTTTAACAGATCATCTAGAGTCATATAGAGTCTAGAGTCACTTGACCAAACGTCTACTGGAAAATCACTGTACAGTCATGTACAAAGGTTTTTAATGGTCAATTTACAGGTTTTATTGATTTTCTAAGTGTAAGGTAGTGTAAGTTAAAACATCCTCCACAGAGATCACACTTCTGCACAGTTAAAGGCTCAGTTACGGTGCATTAAACTGTTACTTTAAATGTGGCCTGTGCCAAATTAGTTACAGGACATTTTATATTTCATGGTTTATTTTTTACCAATATGTCAAATACAGCAAATGACTAGAGATTCTGCACTAAAATGTGCAGAAAATGTGATATAACTGTGTAAATAAACCTGAATTGACCTCAGTCGTCTGTGTTTCAGGTCGCGTGTCGATGAAAGCCATCTGCCTGCAGGACCAAAGCGCTCAGGTTAACTCTTCACTGTGCAACCCTCAGACCAGACCAGCGGTGGGCTCTCAACTCTGCAACACCCACCCCTGCCCTGCCCAGTACGGTTCTAAACTCTTATTTATGTGCCGTGTGTGTTTGTTCGTTTGTTTTTTATCCATTTTCAGGACAAAAATGTTGGAAACAAAGAAAACGGTTAATGCTTTTTACAGTTCTCCTAGTTCTAGGCGTTATCTGAGTAAATATGAGGTACAAACTCCAGTACATGATAATTAATTTGGATTGCATGATGGTACACTATGTAGACAAAAGTATTGGGACACACTTCTTAATTTTTGAGTTCAGGTGTTTCAGCCACACTCATTTATAACAGGTGGATACAGTTAAGCACATAGCCTTGCAGTGTCCATAGACAAACACTGAGCTCAGTGACTTCAAACAATGCCGCCTGAAAAGCTCACCGCCACTGGACTCTGCAGCAGTGGTGGTTGATGTAAACGTTTCCTAAAGCTTCTGCCCATGTCTGCATGATTCCATGCATTGACCTGCTGCTCACGATTGGCTATATGGACAACTACAAGAACGAGTAGGTGTACAGATGTTCCTAATAAAGTGCTCAGTGACTGTAGATACCTACAGGCTATGAGGCTGATGTTGCTAACCAGTAATGGAAGCTTATACCCCACCAATTAGGTGAGCATGGTGCAGCCTAAATCATCATACGCTTGCCTGAAAGCTGTTGATATGTTAAGTAGTCTCAAAAAGACTTGATTTAACCCCTTATTTGCTGTGGTATTGGGCCGCATAGTTCTCCCTACATTCAGACAATAAATGTCTCTCCTTTTTCTCTCTCTGTCCTGCTGCTGTCTGTCTGTCTGTCTGCTCTTGGCACGTTGTAGAGTGTGTTTGGTGTGAGCGTATGTTGGGGAGCTGAAGAGGAAATCAGGACCATATGACCATTTCCTTACAGCAACAAACCGTAACGGCTTCGGCCCATCTCCTCCAAAGCCTGACAAATCATCCAATAACAGAGGAGGCCTGAGAACAACGATGAAAGAGTGTAATGTGTTTGTGGTGCTGTGTTGGAGTTGAATGCATTGGTGGGGTTGCTGGTATTTTTCGTGGTAGTGTCTGTGGAGAGTGGGTTTACTGTGCGTATGGCCTTGTTGGAGTTGTAGTAGTGATTGTTTATCATTATGGGTGAAGTTTATTGTGGTTGTTGCATTGTTGGAGCATCTTTACGTCTTTACGGCGTCACTGGAGCTTATTATGGTGACTGTAGCACAGTGAGAGTTTACTGTGATTGTCTACCGGTTGGTGCTCCACATCCATGTTGCACTGACTGTTTATTTCATGAAGAAGTCTTCTAACCTGTGCTTTGCATGCCAGCACCACCTGAGCTGAGGTTTTCCCTAATGGAGGTGTGTCCTGACAATGGGGAGACGAGTTTAAGGGAATGTTCAGGCTTGGCAGGTTTGGTTCTATTAGGACAGCGATTTTTAGTGCGCTTCGTTAAAGCAAGTGAGGATCCAACGTCTGAACTCTGGTGTGAAGCAAATACGCAGACTGAGACCCCTTAAGCTGAGCCCACACTGCACAAATTTTATGCACGATTTTAACCCCGATTTGCCCCTTGTGACAAATTTTCACGATCTGAAGCGATTCTCCAGGTCGGGAGCTCGATCTGAAGCAGCTGACGGTGCGGATGGTCTGTAGTGTGAGAGGAGAAACGAGTGAATCCTTAATCCTCCGATCAGATCGAACTCTGGAGTGATCGGACACCCTCCGATATTATCAAACATGTTTAATATTTACCACTCAAAACATTCACGAGTCCTGAAATGAGAGAAAGTCAGAGATTTACTCAACGAGAGATCCAAACAGCCAATCAGAGAGCTGGAAAAGCGGAGAAACAGACGAAGACTGCACCATCAGATCGTTGAGTCGAGTGAGCATAAACACCTCAGTCCTAATCTATAAGAATAATCGGATTGGCAAAAATCTTTGCATGTAAACACAGACAGTGCGAACACTAAGCGGACCAGAACTAAAATGCCGCAGTGCGTCATTTTCGGCTTTGGGCCGGAACAAAAGAACCCAACTACAAGTATAAAACACAGCCCTAAACTGCACAGATACTAATGACCCTCGTCCCCCAGCGCTCACTGAGCCCAAACCGCCCCACAGTATTGAATAACAAATACAAGACACTGACTCTAAACTCCTGAAATTTATTATTTACTCTTTGAAGCATTATGTGTTTTGATTTATGGCTACTAAAAAAGAGGAGAAACGAAAAAGTGATAGAAAATGTCTCTGAGATTTAAAAAATGTGCATGGCAGACATTCAACATGAGGATAAAAAGAGAAAAGAGCTTGGAGAGACGTAGAGGCACAGAGAGAGAGAGAGAGAGAGAGAGAGAGGGAGAGAGAGAGAGAGAGAGAGAGGGAGAGAGGGGGCGGGGGGAGGAGGAAAAAGGTCTGCTTATCTTTCCAGCAAATATCTGCAGTGTTGACAGGGCTGTCCATGTTTTATTATAGTGCTGTACAGGCTGCATCCCCCTGGGGCTCGAATATGTCTAGCCGGTCAAACAGAGCACAAACCCAGTCTCTCTCTCTCTCTCTCTCTCTCTCTCTCTCTCTCTCTCTCTCTCTCTCCCCACTTCACTTCAATTTATCTATCCCTGCTCCCCTCACAAATGTATTCTTTCATAGCCACTGTTTTGATTCACTCCAGTCTCATACCAGCCTCCTGAGAATCTCACTCCAGTCTCATTTCAGCTACCTGAGAATCTCACTCCTGTCTTATAGCGGCCTCCTGAGAATATCACTCCTGTCTCACTACATCCTCCTGAGAATCTCACTCCTGTCTCACTACAGCTATCTGAGAATCTCACTCCTGTCTCACTACAGCCTCCTGAGAATCTTACTCCTGTCTCATTTCAGTTACCTGAGAATCTCACTCCTGTCTTACTACAGCCTCCTGAGAATCTCACTCCTGTCTCACTACAGCTATCTGAGAATCTCACTCCTATCTTACATTAGCCTCCTGAGAATCTCACTCCTGCCTCTTGAGAATCTCACTGCAGTCTCACACCAGCCTCCTGAGAATCTCACTCCAACCTCCTCCATCTACCTGAGAATCTCAATCCTGTCTCATGCCAGCCTCCTGAGAATCTCACTCCTGTCTCACTACAGCTATCTGAGAATCTCACTCCTGTCTCACTACAGCCTCCTGAGAATCTCACTCCTGTCTCACTACAGCTATCTGAGAATCTCACTCCTGTCTTACAACAGCCTCCTGAGAATCTCACTCCTGTCTTACAACAGCCTCCTGAGAATCTCACTGCAGCCTCCTGAGAATCTCACTGCAGTCTCACACCAGCTACCTGAGAATCTCACTCCTCCTTCACGCCAACCTCCTGAGAATTTCACTCCTATCTTACACCACCATTATGAGAATCTCACTCCAGTATCACTCCAGCCACTTGGAAATTTCACTCCAGTCTCACTGGACATTCTGGAATTTAAATATAAGTGAAGGTCTAATCATAGATGCATAACCTAAAACCCTTCATCTCACTCTCTCAGCTGAGAGGGTCACTCTGCTGCTGTGCAGCGCAAACCTCAAACACATGATCAAACAAAACGGTGCCCCCAGAAAAGAGGCACGAACATCACTTAAAGAGTTTTACAGAGTGCTCAGTGCCCCTCTCTGCCTGTCTGTCTGTCTGTCTGTCTGCCTGTCTATCTCTCTCTCTCTCCATCTGTCTCTCTCTCTGTCTCTTTCTCTGTAGTTTAATTCAAAGTTCAATTGACCTGAATTAACATAAACTGAAGTAGGGCAGAAACAGTATTAATAGAACAAAATAACTTTTTTTACAAGATGATAATTTATCTCCTCTCTGAACTCTGTTTGCCTTTCTCTCTGTAATGGATGAATACCTGCAGCTGCTGAGTCGCTTACCAGAAAAAACCCTGCAGAAAAGCTCCTCACGCTCACAACGTTAGAAAAACACACCAGTCCGAGCGACACAGAGCCAGTGCCCTCCTGAATCACTGGCACCCTTGGTAAAGCTAATAAAAGGCAGTCCATGTGTTTTTTATTGCAACTTTAAAGTAGTAGGTAATCCAGAAATGCAAGCATTTCTAAATGTGAGGGGAAGTGAATAGTCACCAATTAGCGTTAGCCGTGTTAGCATATTTATCCTTAATCCCATATCCCTAAACATTTAACCCGCATAAGAAAGATGATTTCTCTAATTTCTGTTGTCGCATTTGTTTTTGTATATAAAGAACATGATGTAACAATATTTGACGAACAAATTTGATGGATGTGCCACATTACACTACATTACATTACACTACCATTCAAACATTTGGATAAACTTCGCTATGGAAAAGGGCCCACTTTCCACATTATTTACATATTTTATTGCTGTCTTTGTCCATTTTTGACTTTTTGTGTGGGTTTATGTTCCAAAAACAGCCAGAATTCACCTACATATGACTGTTTTCTGACCTCTCCTTGTCTCACTGAATTAAACAAGGTGGTTTTGTTACTGTGCCTTTAAGACTAATATATGTAAATACAACAGAGCTGATTGGCCAGGCTGAAACACATCTAACAGCTTCAGTGTGTCGACCCCATGTGTCAAAGACGAGGCCCGCGGGCCAAGTCAGGCCCGAGGCTCAATCCTATTCGGCCCGCAAAGTCATTTTAATTTTCTGTTAATATTAGCCCAGTTCACCATGAACTGCACTACAGTTCCCAGCATGCACTGCAACATAATGTGTGCTCCCACCCCCTCCCCAACAACGATCTATGGAACTATGGATATGGTGGATCATTCTCAGCACTGCAGTAACACTGACGTGGTGGTGGTGTGTTAGTGTGTGTTGTGCTGGTACGAGTGGATCAGACACAGCAGTGCTGCTGGAGTTTTTAAACACTGTGTCCACTCACTGTCCACTCTATTAGACACTCCTACCTTGTCAGTCCACCTTGTAGATGTAAAGTCAGAGACGATAGCTCATCTGCTGCTGCACAGTTTGTGTTGGTCATCCTCTAGTCCTTCATCAGTGGTCACAGGATGCTGTTGGCTGGATATTTTTGGTTGGTGGACTATTCTCAGTCCAGCAGTGACACTGAGGTGTTTAAAAACTCCACTCAGACCAGCACAACACACACTAACACACCACCACCACGTCAGTGTTACTGCAGTGCTGAGAATGACCCACCACCCATCCTGACCCATCCTGACCATTTTAGCATGAAATAGTTTGTGCTTCTAAAGGAAAACAAATCGAGTTATTAATAACTGACACATGGTTCTATATGGAACCACTGCATGTCTAGAGAACCCTTGAAGAACCTTCTTTTCAAATCTTTCAAAATTCTAAAACTTTCTTAAATTAAAACAATCCTAGATTTCTGGACCCCACTGTAAACAAAGATTTATATGATTATTGTTATTAATATTTTATAATTATATAATAATAATAATAATTATTATTATTATTATATTAATATTTTATTTTTATAAGTTGCACAGCACACTTTAAAAAGATAGTTATTAAAGAAAATGGTTCTATATAGATCAATGAACACTCAAAGAACCCTTTGCATGATTAAAAGATTCTTTGCACGGTTCCTCAGATTGATGGAGAACGTGTTTATATGGTTCTATGTTGAATCTTTTTGAAAATGGTTTTCTGTAGCACCAAAAATGGTTCTTCTATTGTTACAGGTTTGACATTATGACAGTAGAAGAACCCTTTTTGGTGCTTTATAGAACGCTTTTCAAAAAGATTCTATATAGAACCATCTACAGCACATTCTCCATCCATCTGAAGAACCATTTAACAAGGAACCGTTTAATTTAAAGGGTTTAAATGAAAGCGTTCTTCAGACTGATGGAGAATGTGCTTTATATGGTTCTGTGTAGAACCTTTTTGACATTGTGGCAATAGAAGAACCTTTTTGGTGCTGTATAGAACACTTTTCAAAAAGGTTCTATATAGAACCATCTACGGCACATTCTCCATCAATCTGAAGAACCATTTAACGATGCAAGGAACCCTTTAATTTGATTAATTTTGGCATCATGAAAGGGTTCTTCAGATTGATTATATGGTTCTATGTAGAGCCTTTTTGAAAATGGTTCTCTATAGCACCAAAACGGGGTTCTTTTACTGTTACAGGCTTGACATCGCGACAATAGAAGAACCATCTACTGCATCAATCTGAAGAACCCTTTCACAATGGAAAAACCCTTTAATCATGCAAAGAGTTCTTTGAGTGTTTATGGTTCTACATAGAACCGTTTTCTTTACTAAAGAACCCTTGAAGAACCCTCTTTTTTAAGAATGTGGATCTGCTATATTAGATCATGCGTTCATCCTCAGCCAGTCGGTTTCAGATGATTGAAAAGTCTGATTCCAAACTTCTGAATCACAGTGTTTATTATAAACCGCTCATATTCATACTTTCACTGTAAATGCATGTGTGAACCTGAGTGGTTCGGAGAGGCTTGGCAGCCCTTCCAGTCCTCTCAAACTGACAAATGGCTCCAAAACCCAAAAAGCCAGTGCGCTAAAAATTCACCCTTTGTTCCGCAGTGTGACCAGCAGCAGCTCAGGTTTCATCAGATGAGCTGGAATTCGCTCCGCTGTGCCGGGGCGCGTTATTTCGGGTCAGGCGCTGTAGCCGTGCCAGCGGGAGGAATGCAGCCCGCGATCCTCACCGTCCTCCAGACACGCTCTCGGTTTAATTGTATGGCTTGAAATATGCGAGTTATTGGAAGGTTCTGCAGAAATGCGAGTTAAAACAGGAGCCAAGAGCGGCGAACCTCGCTGACCAGCGACACATTGTCATTTGTGTGGCGAGGAGAGAAAATAAGCTTCGGTTTCCACCCTCCGTGCAAATTGCAGTTCTTCTCCTTCCAATATGTGCTGGGCTTTAAAAGGAAATGCAGGCCCGTTTCGGGGCGGAGGGAGCGGCGGTCTCTGATAAAAACAGGGTGACCTGTGCCGCGCCGGTGGCCGCAGAGCTGCCCGTGCCTGTGATTTGCTGTAATCTCGCTGTAAGCAGTCAGCTCAGATCTATTTTAAAGGCCGCTTTCATGCACGGCCAAGAAAGACGCCCAGATAGGAAAGCGGCCGAGCTATCTGAGCTCAGAAAGGCTGGGGGATGGACGGGTTCGGGGTGGGGCAGGTCAGTTTTTATCTGTTTATTACTCGAGATATCTGTGGAACTGGCGCCTGTTGATGTCAGGAAAACAAATCAAGTTGATTTTAATTGAAATTAAAATGGGCTTAAAATATTAGTGTTAAAACATAATTATCCCCAATATTAAATCAGTCAAAGTCAATCAGGCCAAATAAAAGAGAATTATGTTGTACTTACAGTAGGATACACACCGATCCTTGTTTCTACACTCATTGTCCATCTTATCAGCTCCACTTACTATATAGGTGCACTTTGTAGTTCTACAGTTACAGACTGTAGTCCATCTGTTTCTCTGCATACTTTGTTAGCCCCCTTTTACCCTGTTCTACAGTGGTCAGGACCCCCATGGACCCCCACAGAGCAGGTACTATTTGGGTGGTGGGTCATTCTCAGCACTGCAGTAACACTGATGTGGTGGTGTGTTAGTGCGTGTTGTGCTGGTACGAGTGGATCAGAAACAGCAGTGAACCCATTTTGCTCCGAGTGATTTTAGAGCGTTGCTATTGGTCTATTCATCATGATGTTTTTACTCAATGTAAAGAACAGCCACCGTGTTCAGGTGATAGAGTAAAAATTGACAAAAATAGAGATACATATTTCTCTTCAGACAGCAAATGTGGGGAGCATTTGTTATTATTAATATTATAAATATTATTATTATTGGAGTTATTATTATTATTAATATGATAATTTTCTTTGTTCTTTCTGTTAGTTGGAGTGTGAGAAAGTGGAGTGTGTTATTATTATTATTATTATTATTATTATTATTATATTATTGGAGTTATTGTTATTAATATGATTATTTTCTGTGTTCTCTCTGTTAGTTGGAGTGTGGGAGAGTGGGGCGTGTGCAGTGCGAGCTGTGGTGGAGGGCGGCAAAGTCGGACCGTACGCTGCGTGAGGAAGGTCGTCTATCAGCGAGAGGAGGTGGAGTCTCCTTCACACTGCCCCTGCCCCCTCACCTGCACACTCACAGTCCTGCAACACAAACACCTGCCCACCAGAGTGGAGCACCGGAGTCTGGACACAGGTCAGTGTAGATACAGTATATACACATACATGTGTATATATTCCTCTGTTTCTCTCTCTCTCTCTCTCTCTCTCTCTCTCTCAGAACATCATTATATGTTTCTTTTGTTCTTCCCCTGCAGCTCTGCTGAGGAAGTGAAGCAGGTTAAAGATGATGAATCGTTTTGCTGTAATAACAGACAGTCGGCTGTAATCAGCTCTGCAGCTGATCTCTTGCTGCCCTCTGCTGGCAGAAAGATGAAAATTACACTCAGACCCAATTGGCATATAGTGCTCCATTCAGAAAAGAATGTGTCAGCACACATGACTGATTATGTAAATCCCTTAGAATTAAACAGGCTGCTTTGTTACTGTACCCTTAAAGGGGAATTTCACCAATTTTTCAAAATTTGCCAGTTTTATGATAGTTTTGAGAAGATTTCAGCCCAAAACGAATATTTTAACATCGATTCATTGCAGAGAAGTACATGCGGGGCATTGTGAGGCAAAAAAGTCCCCAAAGAAAACTTACTGTACTATTATTTTTGCACTATTTTACCATCATCAACATTGCATATAAAACTCAGAAGACAAGTGTAGGTTAACTGCTGGTTTTGGCTACATGGCCAGATTTGAGTGCCTCATTTAAAGCAGCCTGGGCTCAAATGCTCCTTACTTCACTTAACGTCACTGCAGTGGGCAGAGCTAAACAGCTGCAGGCTGAATAGGCGGATACATTCAAATGTGCTTGTTTTTGTGACATCACAAAAACGTTGAATTGAAAATGGGCTGATTTTACAGCTTAGTGTTCATGTATGGACTGTATGGTCTAAAAGGCATGTATGCATCCACTGTAAACAATGTTTATACATCAAACCTAGGGTGGCACGGTGGCGCAGTGGGTAGCGCTGTCGCCTCACAGCAAGAAGGGCCTGGGTTTCGATTCCCGGCCGGGTGACCAGGGTCATTTCTGTGTGGAGTTTGCCTGTTCTCCCCGTGTCTGTGTGGGTTTCCTCCCACAGTCCAAAGACATGCAGCCAGGCTGATTGGACATGCTGAATTGCCCCTAGGTGTGTGTGATTGTGTATGTCTGTCTGCCCTGCGATGGACTGGCGACCTGTCCAGGGTGTATCCTGCCTTCCGCCCAATGACAGCTGGGATAGGCTCCAGCACCCCACCGCGACCCAGAAGGATAAGCGGTTTAGATGATGGATGGATGGATGGTTTGGGCTCTTTTAGGATGATTGTGTTTTCGGCAGTGTTTTTGTTCCTTGCAGAATATTGTTTGTTTTTATTTTCATTCCTCAAAGTGGTTCAGAGTTATAGCAGTTACGAACACTGTATACAGTCATCTGCAAAAGCTTTAGCCACTCCAGCACATTTTAATGCACAGTTATTGATTATTTAATGAGTTTTATTTCTTCTCCAATGTGTTAAACTCAGCAAATAAATAGAAACTGTGCACTAAAGGTTGCAGAAAAATATCATATGTTTGCTTGTTCTCTTGAAAGGACATATTCTGTGTGCACATACTGTTCATTTTATGTAAAATTATAATAGAAAAATTTTAATTTACATGTGCAGCAGCTTCATAATCTCTTTTATTCTAGCTAAGCTGGCAATCTTTTGCCAAATATGCTGCCTATTGGATTATACTGCTCTATATTGTTGACATAAATGATGCCTGTAGTGATTTCTGTTGTTTTCTATGTGTGGGACGACCTTACGTCTTCATCTACAGCACAAATGAAGGCGTTTAGTTAGCGGCTTGTCCGTGCGAGAGAACTCTCCTCTCGTCTCTTTCGTGTGAGATTTGATTTATGGATCATAATGAGGAAAAACAAAAGCATTAGCATCCATACAGAACAGCCTAGCCCACCCGGGCCGCTGGGACTTTTCTAATGCCTGGTTTTAATTGGTCTCAGTATGATGTATCATAAATCTTTGATGTGCTTTGCATCAACAAATAGCTAATCAGGTCTGGCTGGGGTTAGTGCTTACTGTGAGTCAAAAGAGTAGCGGAGTTTGTTGATCGCATTCTTCAGAAGTCAGACTGAGTTCGTTTGGCTCGTCTCGCTCAGAGAGTTTAAACCGGCTTCTACAAACTGCGTTTGGCTTTAAAACACATTGACCTTTGTGTTTTTAAAGAGAAGTAAAAACATAAACATAAAACATATACAGAAAAATATACAGTTCTCCCCTCAAGCTTCAGGTTTGTCATTTATACAACATGTCAGGAAATCATATTCATATCACTACCAGAACACAAAGGGTGTTAGTCTGTGGGCGGAGCCTTGTTTTAGCCACGCCCCTGCATTTTAGAGCAGGAAATGAGGCTGCATCCCTGTCCCTCTTGGCCACATGGTGAGCAGTTAGATCCCACTGTTTTGAAGTAAATGTGTCCCAAAGACTGAAAATCCGTGTGGAACATTAAGAATCGTCATGTTTTCTGTAATTAAGTAGCCTTTTTTGTGTTTTAGTGAAAATATGATGATTTTCTGTGTTCTGTGCTGGTTTTGAGCTCAAAAGGAGCTAAAATTGTCACCGAAACAGTCACTACTGAAACAGTTGGGACGTTTGGGTTGAGTTGTCCTGTTCTCAATCAAGAAATCACTTAAATAGGACCTGCCTGACAAAGTGAAGTAGACCAAAAGATCCTCAAAAGCTAGACATCGTGCTGCGATCCAGAGAAATTCAAGAACAAATGAGAAACAAAGTAATTGAGATCTATCAGTCTGGAAAAGGTTATAAAGCCATTTCTAAAGCTTTGGGACTCCAGTGAACCACAGTGAGAGCCATTATCCACAAATGGCGAAAACATGGAACAGTGGTGAACCTTCCCAGGAGTGGCCGGCCGACCAAAATGACCCCAAGAGCGCAGCGACGACTCATCCAAGAGGTCACAAAAGACCCCATAACAACATCCAAAGGACTGTGGGCCTCACTTGCCTCAGTTAAGGTCAGTGTTCATGACTCCACCATAAGAAAGAGACTGGGCAAAAATGGCCTGCATGGCAGAGTTCCATGACGAAAACAACTGCTGAGCAAAAAGAACATAAAGGCTCGTCTCAGTTTTGCCGGAAAACATCTTGATGATCCCCAAGACTTTTGGGAGAATCCTCTGTGGACTAACGAGACAAAAGTTGAACTTTTTGGAAGGTGTATGTCCCATTACATCTGGCGTAGGAGTAACACGGCATTTCAGAAAAGGAACATCATACCAACAGTTAAGTATGGTGGTGGTAGTGTGATGGTCTGGGGCTGTTTTGCTGCTTCAGGACCTGCAAGACTTGCTGTGGTAAATGGAACCATGAATTCTGCTGTCTACCAAAAAATCCTGAAGGAGAATGTCCGGCCATCTGTTCGTGACCTCAAGCTGAAGCGCACTTGGGTTCTGCAGCAGGACAATGATCCAAAACACACCAGCAAGTCCACCTCTGAATGGCTTAAGAAAAACAAAATTAAGACTTTGGAGTGGCCTAGTCAAAGTCCTGACCTGAATCCGATTGAGATGCTGTGGCATGACCTTAAAAAGGCGGTTCATGCTCGGAAACCCTCCAGTGTGGCTGAATTACAGCAATTCTGTAAAGATGAGTGGCCAAAATTCCTCCACAGCGCTGTAAAAGACTCACTGCCAGTTATCACAAACACTTGATTGCAGTTGTTGCTGCTAAGGGTGGCCCAACCTGTTATTAGGTTTAGGGGGCAATCACTTTTTCACACAGGGCCCTGTAGGTTTGGATTTCTTTTCCCTTAATAATAAAGACCTTCATTTATAAACTGCGTTTTGTGTTTACTTGTGTTATCTTTGTCTAATATTTAAATTTGTTTGGTGATCTTAAACATTTAAGTGTGACAAACATGCAGAAGAATAAGAAATCAGGAAGGGGCAAACACTTTTTCACACCACTGTATATATATAAATATATATATATATATGGTGAAGCATTTTAAGGTCTTCTAACTCCTAACTGGATAAGACTGACAGCCAAATGTGTAATTTTGTTTTCTCTCTCTCTCTCTATTCAGTGCTCTAAGACATGTGGGCGTGGCCTAAAGACGCGGAGCGTGTTCTGCCGGAGCACTGACCCCGGCGCCCGGGCGGTGGTATTGCCGGACAGCATGTGCAAAGTCCATCTGAAGCCCAAAGCGCAGGAGACGTGTGTTCTGAGCCGCTGTCCGAAAAACGAGCGACTGCAGTGGGTCCCCTCAGCCTGGGGAGAGGTAGGGTCCCTCTACAGATAACACGCCCAGCGGCAGGGTTAATTGGATCAGAGGTCAAAAGAAATGACCTATCCTTATTTTTTTTTATCTGACGCAGATCTTCATTTATGTATGACTGGATTAGCAGTGCCTTTAGTAGAAGTAAGAAGTATAATGATGTGGTGTGATTACAACAATACATTACATCACAAGAAGCTTTTCTTTTTTTCTTATTGTGAAAAATATCATATATTTCTTCAGGCCTCTTTTCCACTGTAGAGCCAAATGGTTCTCAGGGCTCCACTGTGCCGGTTATGGTTTCTTTGTCCATTTGCTGTGCAGCCAAATCAGAACCAGGAAATACTGAAGAAAAACTACACATGCAAGAATGACTTAGCAATGGCTAACAGGCTAATAGCCACACACAGTACAGAAAGCATTTGATTCCAGCTGCCACTCCAACACCAGTCACACAGTCTCCATCCTCTAGACGTGTGTATTAAAGCATCAGCTGTTACCAAGCCAGTTTAACATTTACCATGATGGTTTGACGTTCATTGAATGGTGGGTTGAAAATCATGCACTGCTTTAATTTACCAATCAGCAGCGTTAGTTAACCATGTTGAGAAAGCTGTGCTGAGCTGGTCTGTAAGCACTATTGTCAGTGGAGCTGCGTGGCTTGGCTGCAGCTCACTAACAGAATATTAAAAAGATAATCAAACAACCATCACAACGCTTACTAAACACAGAGACACAGAGATGCAGTTGTACTTCCAATTATGGCCATTAAGACAAACATTATGGCAACAGTTTTCTTATTCAAGTCGCAGCATTTCCACCAGATCTGTGGCCACCAAAAGTTAATACTACAAAGTCTACAGCAGGGGCTGCTGCCCTGTTTCAGCTCCACTGCTGAATCAGATTAGTAGGTAATAATAAAATAATCCTCCTTTACAGTAAAATAAAGCTCTGCTGATCGTTCAACACAGTTTAACTATAAATGGTCTTAAACTCTGGAGTTAATGTAGAACTGCTAATTCACCCTTTAACCCTGAAGATCAGCGCAGACTGCTGGTCACCATAGCAACACAGACAACAGTCTCGCCTAGCTAGTAGCTAACGAAACGGCAAAGAGAGAGATTTAAGATGAACATTGATAATTTGGAGATGAATGGACTTATTTGTGTTCATAATCACTCCAGCTGGTTTCCTGATACGTTTAATCTGCAACGAGAAACTGAAACACTAAAAAGTCGCAAGGCTGAACTCAGCTGGACCATTTAAGGTGGAACGGGAAAATTCAAACAAGAAGTTGGTGAATGAGAAGCGACTTCAGCCTCATAAAAAATCGAACGTTGAGAGACATTTTACAAGAAACTACTGAACTCTTGGAAAAGTTTCCTGCCGGAGATGCGAGAAAAGTAGCTATAGCTGAGCCAAAGCTTAAAGCAGAGCAAAGTAAGTCTGCGTTTTTGTTTATATTATATTTTTATATCCTATACTAATACATTTGCACATACTGAGACATATTTACAGCCAAGATGGTAAAATAAAATGGACATAAAGTGTTGTGGCTCCCAAGGTGGTTTGATTTTTTGTTGAAAGGACAAAATGGCTCTTCTTAACATTTGGGTTGCGATCTAGACTATCATTAAGCATTTTTACCAAATCCAACAAGCTTAACAAGCTTTCAGTACATCACCAGAAAACCAACCACGCACTCCATTCAGTACCAATAATTTACAACCACCTGACTGAATGTTTTGGCAAGAAAGAATCTGGACCAAGAAGGATCTTGGACATTGAAATGCTCTTTTATTGTAGCTTGCCCCCTTGTACAGCACTGTAGCATGCTTGGGGGTTAGCCGGAGAGGCTGAGGGAGCTGGCAGGGGTCAGCAGAAACTGCAGAAATCGCTGACCATGACAACAACGTGCCCTGGCAACACAAACAGAAAACACAGATTAAAACGCTAACCTGAGGAAACAGCACCAAAAACCCCAAACTATAGGCATCTGTGGAGACTCACAGGACATGCAGATACATATATATATATATCGCTGCTGTCAGAACAAAACCTTGTATCTCCAAAATGTTCATTTTACAGGAAAAAGAAAAAACGTACGTTAAGCGTATGACGAGTAATTTATTGCTTTTGGACCACAAAAATAGTTGCATAATGTAAAAGGCAACAGAAATTTTCAGACTAAAAACAGGAAAATGACAAAAGTGGAGATACGAATCACAGGGTGATTCAAAAAGATTCATCCGATTTCAAAATGATTTATTTCACTTGTAAATCATTACAGAACGATACAGTGAACTGTAAATGGTTTAAATGAGCATAAAGATTATTATGTAATTGTACAAGGTCTCAGTATGAACCTCCTCCAGCTGTACAGACAACATCAACACCATAGTCAAACTCATCCCATACTGGATTGAGCATGTCGGGTGTCGCTGCACTCACGGCTCTTTCAATGCGATTTCGGAGATCATCCAGTGTCGTGGACCCAACGATGAACGCTCTGAGCTGTTGGAGCTTCACTGCCGACGAAAATCACGCTGCACAGTTATGACGGATTCACTCTTATTGAAGTGGAGAATGCAGAACGCTTTCTGATCAGGGGTCTCATCTCCTCTCAGACTGAAGGGGGCCATCTTCCACTGACATTCAGAAACTCTATGACCCCCTCTTACAATTGGATTGTGATTGGTTCCTCGTTGCCTCACGGTTGGAAAAATATTGTGCTTTGAAATCGGATTAATCTTTTTGAATCAAAGAGTATATATTTTCAAAGAGTCTCCCCACTTTGAAGAATTTAAAATAGAAGGCGGATTTAAAATCAGAGTTTGGGTTTGTTTAACAGAGTCCTGGTCGCTGTCCGCTGCATTATTTCAGATGTTGCTATTGTACCACACTGTGTAGACTAGTCAAATTAAAAAAGACCCCTTTATATAATCACACGCAGTGCATTACTGCGTCTCCGTATCATCCAGACGGATCAGTATTAGAACAGTCTGAGCTCTGTCTCCGTATCAGCCTCCGTCTAGACTGTCACTGCGTGATTCCCCCGCGCTGCTCTGCTGCTCTCGCAACATCCCTCTTCAAACAAGCAGCGTTATTAGCCTGTTGCCATGGAGACACTGGATGACCTTGCCTCCAGCGGTTCCCTGGGGTGTGTGTATGTCTGGGTTTGGGGCGCGAGGGCGATTATATACGGCCGTACGCTGAAGTTTGGGCACCCCTGGTAGAATTACGTGTGTTACAATGCCAAGCTTGTAACAATAGAAGAATCCTTTTTGGTGTTATACAGAACCCTTTTCAAAAAGGTCCTATATAGAACCATATACAACACATTCTCCATCAATCGGAAGAACCATTTCACCATGCAGAGAACCATTCAATGATGTACAGGGTTTTTGAGTGTGCATGGTTCTTCATAGAACCATTTTCTTTACTAAAGAATCCTTGAAGAACCTTCTTTTTAAGTGTGTAGGAAAAAGAATGCCTTCTTTTTCAAAAGTTCTCCAAAACCTGACCAAAATAACAGAGAATTACAGTATATAATTAACAGTTTAATCATTTTTCTTGATCTCAAAATACTAAAATGCTAAATACATCATCTAAATATACCCTTTCAACTAAAATACACACTGAACAAGTCATTATTGTGTATAAATTCAGTTATTATTAATACAAGTGGTTCAAACCTTTTGAAGAGTAATTTTTTATGCCATTTTGCCAATGCTTACCTTTCATTATTCATTTTAAAGGAAAAGTTCAATGAAAAATATAATTTACACAGTGATCTACTTATCACAGGTGTAGCTGATCAGCCAAGACATGTTTGGGGTCTAAATTTTGCTTCTTCATTTATCACTGGAGAAATGAGGTTAAAGTACCTAACAAACACTAGAAGTCAATAGTCACCCAAATCTATCCTGTAAACACGTCCTCAAAACTTCTCTCAGACCAAATCCAGGTCTTCATTAAGGTTGTGCAGACTTGATGATGTAGTTTAAGACACAGTACGACTTACGTTGACAAGTCTGCGTTACCTTAATGAAGACCTGAATGCTGTATGAGGAAGATGAGAGAAGTTTTCTGGCTGAATTTACAGAAAATATTTGGGTGACTATTGACCTCTAGTGTTTTCTGGCAATTAGCCTCGTAGATCCAGTTTAAAACTAAAGAAGCAAAATGTGTGCACTGACTGTCTCTGCTAATGTACTAATATAAAGTGGAAAATTGTGCAAATTTGATCATTCCTTTAAATTCTGGACCTAAATAAGGAATCTGAGTGTGTTTGTGGCTCTAACAGTGCCTCTCTGTGTCGTGTCCAGTGTTCGGTCTCGTGTGGAGGAGGGTTTAGGAGGCGTGAGCTGCGCTGCGGAGAGAGAGACTCCACCGGAGGATTCTCTGAATTCCCCCCACGGAGGTGCAGGAATGTGCGGAAGCCCCAGACTGAGCTCCAGCAGGCCTGTAATAAAGCCCCCTGCCCTCAGCTCCCCCCACCCAGCCTGGGCAGAGCGGGCAGCGTCGTCGGGCTGGGCTGGTACTCCTCGCCCTGGCAACAGGTACCGTTAACAGAACAGACAAAAGACAGTTCTGTCGGTCTGTCTGTCTGTCTGTCTGTCTGTGAATAATGAAATTTACTCCTGTTTCTCTTTACCTCAAACCTCACTGCAAAAAAATGTCTTCACTGTAAAACTCACTGCACGTCGTAATGAAAGAATTAAGTTAATACAACTCAAATACTACAGGAAGTTGGAGTAACTTAATCTGAAATATTCAAATTAACTCAAAAATGAATTGTTGTAACTCAGTCATTTTGAGTAAGATTTGAGTTTTTTCGGCATGTTTTGAGTTGAGGTAACTTATTTAAATGCATTATATTCACTATTTTTATTTAACTCGACTTTACACCCAAATACAATCAGGCCAATAATGGGTTGTTTTTAAAGACTGTTGAAAATTTAGTGTTGTGAAAATTTTTTACATGTTTTACATTGAAATGATTTGACTTTCGTGCTTTTTTCATAACTTTATTTAGATGATTCCATCAAACGGGATGTTTGAGTTGAATAAACTTATTGCGGTTCAGTTTAGACTCTCAGCTTTACTTGATAAATGTTTGGTCGATGAAACCTTCTTGAGCAAAACATGATTCCTATTGGCTCTTAGTACCACATATTTGCATATTGGGCGTGTCTTTTCACCGTCTGTGTGTTGTCGTCTGTGTAGTTTAGCGCAGCAGTGAATTTAATTTACAGTTACTTAATTTAACTGGGTTAGTACAGCTTAAACATGAGTCCCAAATACTCAATCACTTTAATATCAACTAAACAAATGGAGTTAGTACAATTTACTCGATTTACTTAAATGTACTCAGCAATAAACATATCGCTGCTGTCGGACGAAAACCTCGTATGTCCATTTTTGTCCTTAGTTTTTGACATAATGTGAAAATGCCTGTTGTCCTTTACATTGTGTATAAATTTCATGATGAATGGACCCAAACAAACGGCCCAAAGTGACTTGAAAACCACATACTAAAGTCTATTAGCGCTTACTGAACAGCTCCACATGGTCTGAGGTGAATGAATGACCGCCAGGTTAACCTGTGTGTGTGTGTGTTGCAGTGTACAGTGTCGTGTGGAGGAGGCGTGCAGACCCGCAGTGTTCAGTGCCTCAGGCATGGCCGTCCTGCGGCCGGGTGTTTACCCCAGCACAGACCCCTCAGCTCCCGAGCATGCAACACACACTTCTGCCCTGCTCCTGGCCCTGCCCTCGGCCCTGCCCACAGTCCTGTTCTTAAAGGTACAGATCTCAACATATACATGCACATATACATATATACATACATTCACTGACCAGTCATAACAATAAAATCACCTCCCATTGTCCATTTAATCAGCTCCACTGACCATATAGTTTCACTCTGTAGTTCTACAGTTACAGACTGTAGTCCATCTGTTATATATACTATAAACATAGTATATATATATGGTTCTGATATATGTTTCTGAAATAAATAATAATAATAAAAAATAAAAAAAAATAATATATATATATATATATATATATATATATATATATATATATATATATATATATATATATATGGAATAAATATATTCCAAGTCATTTTGGAGCATTTCTATTTGTCCATTCATCATGAAATTTTGACATGGTGTAAAGGGCAAAAAAAAAAAACCCTACATTTTCTACATTTTCTAATTTAATTTATGAACAATACACTGTAGTTTTACAGTTATCTACCAGTTTTATCACCACTTGAAATATGTGACATTCTGATTTTATCAGAACTGTATTACTGATGCTATATGGCTTTCTGGATGCAAATAACATTTCTATATTTCCTAAAGCTTCATACTAAACCTGCATGTTAGAATCATCTTATCCATTTATCTCCAAACAAATTTGCTTTATATTACTGAAAACATTGATTGCAAACCTTTGAAGAGTCCATCCAGTCCAGTCTATTCAAACTCAGTAATGTACATGTACCAGAAAGCATATCTGTATCTGTTATTTATTAAATGATTTTAAAGCCACTATAACACACCTCTGTTCCTTTTTTCCTCCAGGAGAGCAGAACTGTATTGATTACTACGGCTGGTGTCACCTGGTGCCCCAACACGGCGTGTGCAACCACAAGTTTTACGGCGAACAGTGCTGCAAGTCATGTTCAGCCAATAAGCTTTAGAGCTGGAGGACTACATTTCCCATGAGCACCCTCACTGACTCTTACTGACTGGGAAAATAAGAGCCTACAGATACCCAGAGGGCCCGAACTGGACATTTTTGGGGGAAAAAGTGCAGAGAAAATGAAAGCTGGAGGCGCGGAGCCCTCGTTGTTCCTGGAGTACTTGATTGCAGAACACTTTGGAGGAAAAAATGGACTCGTGTTTTTGATAAACTGTGTTCAAGAGAAGCTCTGCAGGTTTGGGAACTACCGCGTAACTGGAAATTCAGTGCTGTAAACAGCCACGTCTGTCTCTTTACAGCTTTTTGTGTGGAAATCATGGTTAAAAAAATCATTATTTTCTAAGCCATCCAGTTCCTCGAGCTATGGATCAATTCATTTATATATTTTGTACATTTCGGAGTCCCTTTAAATTATTCTGGTTAAATTGTGACTGTGCATGTCTGTTGTACTGTAGATTTGACCTTTGCACCTTGTTTTGTTTGTGTGACCTCTTCATAAACACCATCAGAAGATACTTTACAGTCAATACTTTTACATAGTTTTAAAGTCATTCTGCCTGTTTTATTTGTCCATGTCTGTGTACTGGTGCTGTTTCCACATTAGGATGTGCTATAAATATTCACATTCCATATCCATCAATGGTGCAAGCTCATGATTTTGTGGAAATAAACCTCAACTCTTTCATCTTAATGATATTATAGACATAAACTGCACAGTTTGTTTGAATGCTGTGTGTTGTGTGTTCAGCTCTTTTTGTAGTTGTAGCTTTGTGTTTTTCTTCATTCAAAATCCCCAATTAAGAAAATTCTCCATCACTGCAGAGACTCAAACATTCATTTATACCTACATATTATCCTCTGTAAGTCACTGATAACCAGTTCCTGTACATTATACCTTATACGTTGACTCACTGGCCACTTTATTAGAAACATCTATCCTATACTTTCCCTCGCTGGCCACTTTATTAGAAACACCTACTTTGTGCTTCCACTCACTGGCCACTTTATTGGAAACACCTACCTTGTACTTCCACTCACTGGCCACTTTATTGGAAACACCTACCTTGTGCTTCCACTCACTGGCCATATTATAAAAAACACCTACCTTGTACTTCCACTCACTGGCCACTTTATTAGAAACACCTACCTTGTACTTCCACTCACTGGCCACATTATAAGAAACACCAACATGGTACTTCCACTCACTGGCCATTTTATTAGAAACACCCACCTTGTGCTTCCACTCACTGGCCACTTTAATGGAAACACCTACCTTGTGTTTCCACTTACTGGCCACTTTATTAGAAACACCTACCTTGTGCTTCCACTAACTGGCCACTTTACTGGAAACACCTACATGGTACTTCCACTCACTGGCCACTTTGTTAGAAACACCTACCTTGTGCTTCCACTCACTGGCCACTTTGTTAGAAACACCTACCTTGTGCTTCCACTCACTGGCCACTTTACTGGAAACACCTACATGGTACTTCCACTCACTGGCCATTTTATTAGAAACACCTACCTTGTGCTTCCACTCACTGGCCACTTTACTGGAAACACCTACATGGTACTTCCACTCACTGGCCACTTAATTAGAAACACCTACCTTGTGCTTCCACTCACTGGCCACTTTATTAGAAACACCTACATGGTACTTCCACTCACTGGCCACTTTGTTAGAAACACCTATCTTGTACTATCAAATATTTATAGTCTAGAATATGGGTCTTCAAATGTATTTTCATATAAGTAATTTCAAATGTAACATATTTGCATATTATCTATGAACCTGCCCGTAATTTGAGATTCTCTGTTTCATTAGGATCACCTTGTTACACACTTACATCAAAGGCATTCCAATCTAAAACTTGCCATTTATGTTATGTGTCATGTTTTGTAATATTCTATAGCGTAACAGCACAAAACTCAAAATTTTATCATTTTCATGTTTTTCTTCATCGGTGTTCTCTCACTACAATACCCAGCATGCACTGCACAAGTACATCACATGACCATTGGGAATCTCTGTGGTGCCAACCAGTCCTGACTGTTAGCCTAGCCACTGAGCTGCAGGCTAATAAATACAACCAAGCTAGCTGTTGTGTAACTTCTTGAACACAATCATAAAGGAAATGGTGATTCTCTCGTTATTCAGCACAAAGAGGAGTTTTTAGCCTTTCAGCCTGAGAAAAGAAGCCAAACTGAGGTAAGATATGTGGATAACCAGCTGTCCTGCAAATGTTAGTCTTTCGAGTCTTGTCCTGTTGGAGTAACACATTCTCTCCAATGTAATGATGATTTGAAGCCAATTACATGGCTGCAGTACGATATTCAGCTTCCTTCATTCACCAGCTAACAAAAAACATTTCAGCACAGTCTGTCTTCAGAAGTCCACCCCAGGCAGTGGTTGATTTCCAAAAGTTCTTCCCACCTTCAAGATACATCATCAGAAGAGTTTCCTACCAAAAACTCTAATTTTTGAGATGCCCTATAGAAGCGTCTGTCGGGACCTATCCAATTCGATTAGTCCAACCTGTATTTGGACTGTTGTTGAGTCTGTAAAGATAAAGCTGCACTAAATGAGAAATAGAACAACTTAAGGCCCTGCGTTCCTCACTGGCACAGGCTAATGACTTCAGATTTGTGTGTATCTTGTATTTGTTTGTTTGTTGTAATATTTTATCACTAAACATCAGGAATTAAGTAAAATATCACTGCTCAAATATTCCTGTGAAGATGGTAAATTTGCTCCAAAACGCAGAGCAGGGTGTCTCTGCCGTAATGGGTCTCTGAGGGCTAGAGGGGTATGAAGCCCCCCAGCATTGGGCTGTGGAGCAGTGGGACTGTGTTCTCTGGAGTGACGGAGCTCCATCCAATACCTTTGTGATGAGCTGGAGAGGCGTTTGACTCTCAGGTATGTTCTCCTCTCCAGAGCTGTAGGGCTCTAGAGTGAGAGTCGTGCACTTCTGACACTCCATCGCAGCTTTTCTCTCACCTCCCTCTTCTCCTCCTTTAATTTCTCTTCAATTTAATCCTCTCATCTTCTTTCTCTCTCTCTGTCTCTCTGTCTCGCTCTCTCCACTTCTCTCTATTCTTTCTCACTCACTTTCCTTGCCCTCCTCCCTCCCTCTCTCTCTCTCCTCCTCTCGCTCTCTCCACTTCTCTCTCTTTGCCACTCTATCTCTCTCCACTCTCCTCCCCTCCTCTCTCTCTCTCTCTCTTTCCCTCTCTAGATCCACTTTCCCCCTCTCTCTCTCTCCCTCTTTCCACTATCCTCTCACTCTCTCTCCACTTCTCTCTTCTTTCTCACTCAATTTCATTGCCCTCCTCCCCTCCTCTCTCCTCGCCCTCCTGCCTCCCTCTCTCCTCCTCTCGCTCTCTCCACTTCTCTCTTTGCCATTCTCTCTCTCTCCACTCTCCTCCCCTCCTCTCTCTCTCTTGTTCCCTCTCTCGCTCCACTTTCCTCCCCCTCCTCTCTCTCTCTCCCTCTTTCCACTCTCCTCTCACTCTCTCTCCACTTCTCTCTATTCTTTCTCACTCACTTTTCTTGCCCTCCTCCCTCCCTCCCTCCCTCTCTCCTTCCTCCCTCCCTCTCCCTCCCTCCTCTCTCTCCATTTCTCTCTCTTTGCCATTCTCTCTCTCCACTCTCCTCCCCTCCTCTCTCTCTCTCTTTCCCTCTCTCGCTCCACTTTCCTCCCTCTCCTCTCTCTCTCTCTCTCTCCCTCTTTCCACTCTCCTCTCACTCTCTCTCTCCACTTCTCTCTTTTCCCCTCTCTATTTTCTCTTTCTCTCAGCTCTCCTCCCTCCCTCTCTCTCTCTTCCCCTCTCTCTCACTCCACTTTCTTACAATCGCTACACATTTCTCTCTCTCTCTCATTTCTTTTTTTTTTGTGTAATCCTCATTTTTCCATGCACACGGCCCATAACCTCCACAGCTACGTGTGTTCAGCTGTTGATTCCTTTATCTCGGCTCACAGGACAGAACTGTTCTCTTATTCATTGTCAGTGCTCGGCGTCCATCACAGCATCATGCATCAGTTTTTTTTCTCTGTTTTGTTTACTGCATATTGATTTTTAAAAATTTCATAGCTCACAAAATAATCAATAGTTCATATTCAGGTTACATCGTTATATTGTTATGTAGGTACTGTTATGGTGTTACCACTTGAGGGGTCAAGTGTATCAGAGGCCCCAGAAGCAGAACCATGACAACAACTCCATCTTTACGTCCCAAAAGTTCTCAGTTTGTTAAAGCCACACACAATTATTTACACTCACAAGAACAAAAAGGAATTAAAAGAACTTAAACGGTTGAAGAATAACCTCTTTGATACGAGATCGACTTCAGACAGTTATACTATGCTCATGGAAAAAGGAGCTATCCAACATCTCTAAGTCTGGGGCTGCAGCACCTCTCAAAACTCCCACCATCAAGAGCTAACTAGAACTAACCTCCTATCCTTTTAAGTGATTGGCCCCTCCCACCCACGATCTGGGCCAACCCATGTCTATACTCTGGCTGAATAGAGCTTAGAATAAAAGGCATATTCATAATCATACATTGTCACAGTCACATTCATTCTACTTACATAGATACGTTTATACACAGATGTCATGGTAGCATTTGATTGTACAACTAGATCAGCTTTTATCTTTACACAGGTGTCTCTCTTCACAGGCCCCCCCTCCCCTGGATCACAATGGACTCTTCCGGACCCAGAAAGGAACGAGCTCACCTGGGCTCCCACTCCTATAGTGGCCTCTCATCAGGCAAGTCACATGTAGTCTTTACATGTCCATTATTCTGATACATGCTGCTGTGATAGTGTTTAATAGTCTCTTTAAAGTGAGGTGCTTTAAAACAGTCCAGTATGAAATAACTATTTAAATTAGTTAAACTAATAAGAATAATTAAAATAATAAGTAAATAAATAATAGAAATAAAATGTAAGAAATGAAATGAACCACAGGATGTCTCAGATTTCATCAACGGCTCATTACATGCATCATAAGCCATCACTCTGGAATGGTAAAGGACTCTATGCTGGTTGGAGGGACGTTAGTAGCCTCTTTTCCACTGTAGAGCCCTTCTGTGCCATTATGAGTGGCTCACTGCTAACAGCCCAGTACCTAAACCCACCATCCACCACAAAACACGTTTGATTCCAGCTGTCACTCCAACACCGCTCTCTCAGCATGCTCTCAGATTCTTTATCCTCTAAACGGCCGGTCTTTGAACATCAGTTGCTGAAACTGAGCCTGTACTGCAGTGGGAGGCCTTGTGCTTTCATGTTAGCTTAGCCTACCAGGCTGCAGCTTAAAACACTGCAGTATAGGTTCCATTTCAGCTTTCTGTCACTCCAACAACAATCAGTCCACTTTACTCTAATTTATATGGGTTGTTATTGTCTGTACTTGTGATAGCAGAGCACCAGTTAGTTTAATCAAACCTGTACTCGGGTGTTTGGATCTCAGGAGGCTACAGCCCTGCTAGAAAACCAACGCAAACCAGCACTGGTGGTCACTAGCAAAACCTCAAACACAAGCAGGTTGGGATGCAAAAAAAAGTCTATGTGGAGTTACAGGCCAGTTCAGAGTCCCAAAACAGCCAAATATTGGGCCTCAGTCACCAACTGTTCTTAAGAAAAACTTCT